TTTTTCCAGCGTTGGGCTGATCTGGTGTGGATTGCAGTGACAGCGGCTAGGGTTTCTTGGCCATATCACAAGGGTCTGTTTGCTGGATTGCAGTGACAACGGCTAGGGTTTCTTGGCCATATCACAGGGGTCTGTTTGCTGGATTTCAAACCTGTAGGGACTGATAAAATTTCTCAAGGGTATGTCTGTTAAGTTTCATAATAAGGTTTCATGCTAACATCACCGGTCCGACCGACCAAACTAGGGACCTGCCCCTTGACCGAGTCAAGGCCCGGTCAGAGTATAAAAACATTGGATACATCTACTGCAAAACTACTAAAGAGTAACTTTGGAAGCCAAATTCAATATATATATATTCTGACCAGTATCATCCTTTGCGTTCCATTTGTCATATGGTTTTGCAATGTGAATTAACCAACTAGATTTGTGTAGCGGGGCCACGATTGGTGTAAAGTATTAATAGAAACACAATTGTGAAAATCGTTTCCCAGAGCTTTAAAAAGATGGTTCTATGAATAATTGAGGCAACAGATAACTGAATAAACTGAAGGGACACTGATCAAGACATTCAAGAAATTTAATTAAGAGAATGGCCAGTTGAAATTCTTCTTACTTCCTCATAATCAAGAATAATTTGATTAACAATATAAATATTAATCAAAACATGGGTGTGTAAAATGTTTTCTACTTTTATTTTTCAAATTGCATAAAGCCCATCATCCAGTCTATGGTTCCTTATGTTATCAGTTAACAGTTATAAGAAAACACGCCCAGGTCTTCGCTTCACTGGAACAAATGGCTGCTGGGCTGCCAAATGGTCTATTTCTAGTTCGACGATATTATTCTGCAGCAATTAAAAGCATGCATATTAATATACTTGTTTTTTAAACCAAAAACACATATAAAACATTAAATTATTGAAAGAAATATGCTCATAATCTTGCCGTGTGATTGCCTGATGACTCTCTAATCGAGGAAACTTTAATATAATCAAGACTCCGATCACAGTATCTTCTTTACACCTCTTACCTATTTTTTAAAAGATCACTTCTTCTGGTCTAGTTGACTGGCCAATAAAGCAACTAATAATTATGGTGTGATTAATTAAAAGATGGTGATTAATAAAGAATCTTCTTGTTTTTTCCATTGTTTGGTAGTTTGCTGGTAGTAAATTGGTGCTAAAAGAGATGTTTACGCAGAAGAAATAGCACCCACTTTCTAAAGACCAACGGATAAACTCCTATATTTGGAAATACATCACTAAATTTATCACCAATTCATCAACCAACCAACCAACATTCTGAGGATATATAAACGCCACTGGGTTCATATCTATTTTACCATAAATAAGCTAAGGTAGAATTCAGCTAGACGCATAGAGAAGAGAGCCTCTTTGGCATTCCATTAGTTATCGAATTTATCATCTCCAGTGGTAACTATACTGGATGCTCTTTCTGATACTTTTATATTAAATATGTTAAAAGAAGAATAATATATAATATAATGTCTCGCGCGAGCTCGGGCTCAATGGCCTTCATCATGACAGGTACTCGAACAAAAGCTATTCTTCTCTTGTGTTTAGCTCTTTTCAATGCCTCCCCAGCTAAAAGCCGGTCCAATTCTACAAGTCGAAGCGTTCAGGATTCTAACGAGAAAGTTTTTAACGTGTTAGACTATGGCGCAAAGATGGGTGACAAGGAAGTTCGAACTGAAGATGGGGAAGATGGTAACCGCGGGGTAATAAAATGAATCAACTTCAGCAAGTTTCAGTTTAATTTTCCAGTTCAATCGAACTTCATTGAATAATTCTATTTGAGTTGATTGATTTTTGCAGGCATTCGTTCACGCGTTTCAAGCAGCATGCCAACATCCGGGGAAAGCGAGGCTTATTATACCCAGAGGGACTTTTGTTGTTGGTCCAGTAACATTTATGGGGCCATGCAAGAACACAGCTCCACTATCTGTTCACATTCAAGCTACCATTAAAGCAAGCACTGATATTTCTTTATACCCTGGAGAAGGAGAAGAATGGATCAATTTCAACGGCATAAATGGGTTGATAGTTACTGGAACTGGCACTTTGGACGGCCAAGGTCCCGCCGCTTGGAAGTACCGTGACTCAGGAAAAAGCAACGATGATCCTGGACAACGTCTCCCGGCGGTAATTTAGCTAGCTCCAAAAACATAATCAATTCTAATTCTCTTCTGAATTAGTCAATCTTAATTTCATTTTTCTGCTTCTTGGTGCAGAATATACTATTTTTTAATGTGCAAAACGCAATTATAAGAGGAATAACATCCCTTAATAGCAAAGGGTTCCATTACTTCATTACTCAGTGCCAGAATATTAGGCTTGCAAAAATTCGTATCACTGCTCCGGCCGACAGCCCTAACACAGACGGCATTCATATTAGCCAATCCAATTCGGTGAACATATCCAAAAGCGTTATCGGAACTGGAGATGATTGTGTTGGTATGATTCAAGGATCCAACAACGTTACTATCAAAAAGGTAACTTGCGGGCCTGGACATGGAATAAGGTACAATTCGTCTCTTCGTAAGCTTTAATTACTCTCAGTTTTTGCTTAAATTAACATTCCCTGAGAATTTCTTTTAATTTTTGCTCCATATTTTAGTGTTGGCAGCCTCGGCAGGTACAAAAATGAGGCAGATGTGCAAGGGATCATTGTCAAAGATTGCACCTTATTAGGCACAGACAATGGCCTTCGAATCAAAACAAATGTCGGGAAAACTCCAAGTCAAGCTAGAAGTATGGTTTTTCAGAACATCCTCATGAGGAATGTTAGGAATCCGATCATCATAGATCAATTTTATGAAAGCGAACATAAGGTAATTAGCATTAATTTATAATAACTTAATTAGTCTTCTTCACAAAATTTAATTCTGGGTTCTAATCAAACTTTTACATATGTATCTGCAGGATTCAATAATAAAGATCAGCGATATTCGTTTCATAAACATTACAGGGACCTCAGTCTCGGAAGTTGCAGTGGATTTGGCATGCAGTAAGCAGACTCCATGCACAGATGTTCACCTCAGCAACATTAATTTGCGTTACAGTGGAAACCAGAGCAATGTGCCATTCTCATCTTCATGTCTTAATGCTCAAGTTGGGTATCATGGAACGCAATTTCCACCACCTTGCCGTTAGGGTTCCTCTTACATATCATATAGTTTCAGTTAATTAAAATCACCCTGGTTAAATTTGTATTTGGCTGGGTAGAGATGATTAAACATTTCGGGTCTAGCTTCAGAAAGTATAATTTTGTAGTACAATTTTTGAAGAATTAATTAAAAATCTAACTATATAGTCATTATCTGTTTCTCTGTGTGATTCAGTCACCTATTTAATTAATTCAGAAATCGAATTAATTACCTCGCTCTCTTCACATGATTTTAACCCATAAAAGGAAATAAATATGAGCAAATCAATTAGCCACTAATCAGATGTATAGAATCTGACAACACACCAAATAAATAGAAAATATTCCATTGCCTAGTTATTCCTTTGACAGAAAGAGTTTACATGGTAATCTATGAACTGCTAACATAAAAGTTTATAATTTTTATTTCAAACTACCTCTGGGTGACCGAGTGATTCGATAGGGACTTTTGGATATATTACTCAAGAGATCTTGAGTTCGAGTCCCTCCACTGTTACGAATAGAGATAGTCATTGGAGTTCTTATCGAGTCCAAAGTTTCAGGGTCCCGGAAGATTAGTTGAGGTATACGTAAGCTGACCCAGACACACCCAATCATTAAAAAAAAAAAAAAAAAAAAAATTCAATTCATATTATAAAAGTAACTAACTACTGCCATGAGATAACTATATTTATCAGCCAACAATAATAAAGGATTCGATATATACCTAATCCCCATTTGTTTCACATTGATGGAGGGCAAAAAGTAAACCCTTATCATATTTTTCATGATTAAAACTCCAGTATTAACAAAAATAAAATAAATCAAATCACGTATATATTTCCAAAACACTTAACAATGATGCAGCAGCTCCAGTAGCAGCAACAAAAAAAACGAGGCTCCAATATATGCCAACATGTTGAAATAATAAAATATAGTATTCATGTGGCTGCACCTGCATATTCGATTTCCAGAATCCAGCCTCATATTTTAAACAATTATAAAATCTGGAAAGTTTTATGAATGCATTCAAAAGCAATGAAAAGAATAAGCCAATACAATGTATATATTTAGGAACATATATAAACACATGATAAATAATGTCAGAAATAATTGATTGATTGCATGCAAAAATACTTTAATTCAAAATTATAATTTTTCGTCCCATGCAATAAATCAAGGCGTTCGTCCCTCTAGAATCTTTGTGAAGAACTAATATTGGAATATTAATTCTTCAATAAATTGAAATATTAACAGTTAGTCCATGAGGTAAACACTTGCAGAAATCTCTCAGGTCAATGCAGAATATTGTACTGTAATTCCAAAACAAAGATGCATAATTCCGTGTAACTTCCGTGTGTGTATCCGGTTCAGGTTAAGCAAGCTCCAGCCCCCAACTTCTACCGGAACCAAGAAACAAGAAGCAACCCAAATGTTTCTTTTAACTAAATAAATATAAAACCGCACGTTAGACAACTAATTGAACTTTGTCGTTTTTGTTTCTGTTTTTGTTTTTCACACCCCTTTACATTATTAAATCACCATCGCTTTGTCTTTAGAATTTTCCAAGAATTATAGATCCTCGAGACAATTCCAAGTAGTAAATAAATTAATGTATGTCTTTATTATTTTTCAAGAACTGTAGATCCTCGAGGACAATATGATTATAATACCAAAACCCTTTAATTAAACGATTGTTTCATCCTTCATACTCAAATTGCCATTGATTGCTCGGCCATGAATATATATTATATTGCTGTGGGGTACTGCACGTAGAAGCTTTATATATATCACCAAAATATTTGTAAAAATCTGTCCACGAGTAGAAGTTAATTAAGCTTATATCATTGATTAATTTATCACTCTAATAAATACGAATAAGATGTTATTTTATATATAAGTAACTTGCAGCTTTCTCCAAAACATTAAGTGTATTCACTTTCTTTATAGTGCCATACGAGATAAAACAAGGCTTTGAAGCTCTGCTGCCATTGTACCAAAGAGCTTACAAGATAATACAATTCACAAAGTAATTACAATGGTGGCATTCAGGATGTTCAGAAGTATAGCTATTTTTTATTTAACTTGTTTTTATATAGGTAGTACAGTGGTAGTCCGAGCTAAGTGCCGCAAGTGTTCTTCAGCTCATAAATCCAAATCCCGGCCAGTACCACCTCCTCGCCCCCCGCGGCCTCATTCACCAGAAAAAAATTATCCGGAAGCTATTTTTCATGTCACAGAGTATGGAGCAGTGGCTGATGGGGAGACAGACAGTACCTCAGTACGTTTCTTGTTGTATTTACGTTTATCCAATTTGTTTTTTACTTTGTTAATTAATAGCTTTAAGGGGATGTTTCTGATAATTTAAGAACGTTTGGGTCTAATTACTGTTTCCAAACCTCTAGGAGGTGAATAGGTGATTGGAAAATGCAATTACCGTTGACCTCAATTATCTTTGTGATGTAAGGCATCATTTTTACTCTAATAACACGTTTTATAATATGATAACCTGTAGGCATTCTTAAAAGCCTGGGAAGCTGCATGTGATCATGTTGGGAGCTCCACTTTTTACATACCAGAGGGTAAATTTCTTGTTGGTCCAATAACTTTTAGCGGCCCCTGTCGCAATAACCAGCCTCCCGATGTTCAAATCAGAGGCACTCTGCTTGCTGTACCTGATCTCAGTGCCTATCCGGCTGATGATTGGATTGTGTTCAATAATCTTCACGGTTTCAATCTCATTGGAGAACATGATGAGGCAACTTTAGATGGGCAGGGAGGTCTAGATGCCTGGAAACAAGAAAGCTGTGTCCAGTCTGCAAATTGCGACCGATTGATAACAGTAAGTTTGCATTCCATTATTGTGCCAGAAGGTACAGAGTTAATTAATTGGTAATGATAACACATTAATCTGGTTTACCATTTGATTGCTGCAGTCAGTGAAATTCAACAATGTTTCAAATGGGACTATTAGCGACATTTCTGTGACAAATAGCAAGGCGTTCCATATTAGTTTCAATAACTGCGACCGGATGGACATGAACAATGTGAACATTAAAGCACCTGGGGATAGTCCAAATACTGATGGTATTCATGTTCATGAATCCACAAATATCAACATTGTTTCTGCTGATATTGGAGTGGGAGATGACTGTGTCTCCATTGGACCTGGCAGCATCAACATCTCTGTTTCTGATATTCGATGCGGTCCAGGCCATGGAATCAGGTACCAATTCTGATGCTTTTCTAGTTTTAAATTGAGTGGTAACGCTCATAATCTGTACCATATTTAACAACATCGAAATTTCTGCAATATGGCAGTGTTGGGAGCCTTGGCAAGTACCAAAATGAAGCGGATGTGGTGGGAGTTGTAATTAGAAACAGCATAATCAGTAACACGCAGAATGGAGTGAGGGTAAAGACCTGGCCTGGGTCTCCAGCAAGCGTTGCTTCCAACTTTACATTTGAGGATATTGTCATGATCAATGTCTCAAACCCCATAATTATAGATCAAGAATACTGTCCATCGGGTAGCTGCGAAGAATATGGGGTAAATATCTATGAAATTCTGAATATACGAATGCATTTGTTACATGCCGCTAACTGTTTGATTTTTGTTTGTGTGCTCAGCCCTCGAAAGTGAAGATCAGTAACATGTATTTCAAGAACATCACAGGGACATACAACACACCAACAGGAGTGAGTCTGTTATGCAGTTCTGGTGTTCCTTGCGAGAACATTCACCTGGCTGACATTAACATGCAATTCATCAAACGGGAAACGCCGGGCCAAGGCCATTTCAGTGTGAAGGGTGTTGTTCATGGATTAGAAATTTTAACTTCAAGTTTCTAAGTTGAAGTTATAAGAATTAAAACCATTGGGAGGTTGGCCCTAGCAGCCCCTTTGGTTACATTCTCAGTAATCCCTCCGGTGATTGTTACAGTTGTTGGAGTGTAAGAATTATAGGTTTATGTTTCAATATGAATTTCCCAAAATTTTGCAATGCTATAACTTTGTATTAAACTCTCATCAAGACCAAGCATCATCAATTAATACTCAAGGTTACCAGAACTACACACAAATTCTGTATAATTTTTGTTTACAAATTGATGTTGCACAATATAAATGAAAAAGTGTATGTAATATGATCTACTTAATAAAATAAAATCAACTATATTCGCATTAAATTGTGTAGAACATTATAATAAACTGCTTAAAAATGCCTATCTGGGCAGCCCTATTTTTTCCTTAATTCATGCATTAAAAGAAAAAAAAAAAAGTTGCCAAAAATTAAAAAAAATGAGTCAAAACGATGTCGTTTAAAGCTGAAAGGCAAATAAGGTTTCGCTGCCTCTCCCAGAGATAAATCACCTCGTCAGTACTCACCACTAAGTAATCAAGACCTAAAACACAGTAGACCAATAACGCAGCGGACATGGCGCAAATTGTTACCCGGCGCACAATAGCATCGGTCATTTCTCGAACAATCTCTTCTCGCTCTGTCTCTCGCTTCTCTTTACCTCTTCTAGACAAGAACCCACTACTACAACCCCAGCTCATCCCGGACTCGGTTCGCATCCCGACCCGTTTCAAAACATCCGGGGTGGGCCACTCGCCCCTCAACGACCCCTCTCCCAACTGGAGCAACCGTCCACCGAAAGAGACAATCTTGCTCGATGGTTGCGACTACGAGCACTGGCTCATTGTTATGGAGTTCCCCAATGATTCCAAGCCCACCGAAGACGAGATGATCAACGCTTATGTCAAAACACTCGCTTCTGTTGTGGGCAGGTACTGATTCGACTCATTTGGTTTTTCTTTCCGTGTGCTTTTTTTTTTTTTTTTAAAGTAAAAAAAGTTTCTGATTTTTGTTTGGGTTTATGTCGTAGTGAGGAGGAGGCGAAGAAGAAGATATATTCGGTCTGTACTACGACGTATACAGGGTTTGGGGCTTTGATCTCTGAAGAGCTCTCTTACAAAGTTAAAGGTGTGTATTTCAGTCTTACTCATTCATGTTGCCTGTTGGTGGGTTTAGGGTTTTAGGTTTTTTTTTTTTTTTTTAAGTAATTTTAATTAGGGTTGTTTCTTAATCTTTATATTACAATTTGTTTGGGGTTTTGGGCATTAGGTTTTTTTTATTTCATTGTATTTTGAATGTTTGTTGGAGTTCTAATTATTATTATTATTTTTTTTTTTTTTTTGGTCGGTGGATATAATTTTGTTGGGTTTTTTTTTTTTTTTTTGGTCGGTGGATATAATTTTGTTGGGTGCCCAAAGGTTTAGGTTGAGTGAGTTGTTTGTAGATTTTTTATTTTAGTTTCAATGATAGCTATTTGATGGAATTCGCTTTGATTAGTTTTATTCAATATAAAAGTTTCGGGCTTTTGCGGGGTTATTCGTGTTGGTTGGCTTACTCTTTTGTGGATTCAAATTAGCGGTAGGCGTTTGATGAAGAATGATCTATTGTTTGTCTCAAATTCTGGATGTTTGATTGGATCAGCATTGATTTATTTGTCACTGGATCTTCAGGATTTAGGCTCAGATGTTTCCTTTTTTCAGTACTTATTGGTTTGATTTTTCATTGGATTTTTCTGGTGGAGTAGGGCTACCTGGCGTTCTTTGGGTTTTGCCGGATTCATACCTTGATGTCCCCAACAAAGATTATGGAGGTCGGTATTTTCTGAAATAAACCTTTATTGGATTTTAGTGGAATATGGCTACCCAGTGTTCCTATTGAAATATATGTATCATGAAAAAAAAAAAAATTCAATCTTTTCTTGTCTTGTGTGATTGATGATTAGGTGATTTGTTTATCGATGGGAAAGTTATCCAGAGGCCACAGTATAGATTCAATGAGAGACAGCAAAACACTAGGAACAGGCCTCGCCCCCGGTATGATAAGCGCCGAGAAGCAATGCAGGTTGAGAGAAGAGAACCTATGCAAAAACAGAACTGGTCTCAGAATCAGACTGCACCCATGCAGCAACCAACATCAATGAATAACCAGAATTCTGCTCAAGGTGGAGGGTCAGATTTCTTTGTGAACAAAGGATAGTTTGTCCAGAAACATGCTTCAAATTCACAATATAGTTATAGGATATCAGATTAATGTTTGTTGTTGCATTTCTTGTTTTGTTAATAGCGACCGGGTTTTCTTGCTTCCTTTGTTTCATGGCAAAATTATGCATATTTTTGGTCATGAACATATGTGATTATCTGGTGCGCCTTAATTGTGGAATTATCGAAAAAGGTGGTCATTGAAGCCTTGAATCCTTCTAATATTTCGTACGTCCAAACTGAAATGTGCTATATTTCTTTATATATTGATGTTACTTCATCAACTGCAGCATTATGGGCCTGACTCTAAAGATTTCATTTATGTAATTTTCATTTTACTTTTGTTTGTTATGAAATTTTGAAGACAAGCACTCCATGGACAGAATAACTTCATAAGACTGCATCATTTAGGTCACCCCCTGGAACTGCCCTTGTCGGCTGGCTTGATGCTTGTCCCAACCATTCTCTGCTGATTCTTCCTAACTCCTATGCCCTGATAACATCATTGAGCATGAAAGATTATGAATTAGCACTCAACTGTGTTACTTCTGAATGACCATCAAACTCTGGATAGGATTTTTCAGCTGTGAGGGTAAGGTACTAAGGTCAGAATATTCAAATTGTCAAATATTTGTAAGCTTGTCTGGTGGTGCTGAAGGTGTGTTAAGAGACTGAAACTGCAATGGAAAAGTTGCTCCTCGTACCTAAGGGGCAGAGAATCTTACATGCTTCTTTCAGTTGGTGGAAGGATATAATATTTAGATCAAAGAAGAGCAAGAAAGAGATTGAGTAAACATTTGCAGCTGGGAAAAGGGAAAAGAATATGATTGCTTAGCTTAAATATGTATCTTTCATTAATGGATTAACATGACCCTTTGATAGAGCCATATGCAAATATGAGTTCTGTAATTTCATATTTTCATACTTTCTCAGGTCACCTAGCTAGCAAAAGGTTTGAGATGTCTTTACCAATCAATTAATTCCACTGATAGGGCCAATGTTTTAAAATTCAGAAGAACCAAAAAAGTGAGTAGAATTTTACAAAAATACCCTTCTAAAAGGGCAGAATTACTATCTGCTCCCTACTAAAAATGGTTTTTGGGATCCAATTCCATATCAGTGATGTCAACTCAGAAGCTGTCCAAATTCCCCACCGTCTCTGCCTGCAGGAATCCCTCCGATCTCCATTTCTCGAGATCTTGTTTTACAAGGTATGTTTTCTAGCTAAACCAGATCTACAAATTTTATCACCTCGCTTTTAATTCACAAATTTTTGCGTATTTTATTTCTCTATTTCATTTTTTAATACAAAATTTACAAATTAGACAATAAACCATGAATTCCAATTACGGAAAACCTAAAGGATCAACATCCGGTTCACTCAATAACTTCAATTTTGATCTCGATCTCGGTCTCGGGTCTGGTCGGCCCAAGTCACTTAATGACCAAAAAAACAGAACCACGTCGTCGTTTCAATCTTCATATTCATCGTCGACGACAACACAGACTCAATCAAAGCCCACGTGGCAGCCAAACAAGCCATCGTGGACTCATCAACCGGCGCCGAGTCAGTCCGGGGTACAAAATGCACCCACTTCAATGGTGGGTGATATACGTGGCAAGAGTTGGCCGGCAAAATCAAGTTCTGGGATTGGGATTGGAATAGTTGATAAGAATCCTAATCTGTTTGGTGATCTTGTTAGCTCTGCTTTAGGTCAGGGTAAGAGTAATAGTAATGTTCCTTTGAAAAATGCAACACCGGTGGCATCCAATAAGAGTTCATATTCGAAGGGGAATTTGGCTGATTCATTACCGAAAACGAGTAATTCATCGAAAAGTAGTGGAAATTGGGGGTCTGGAGAGAGTTTTGGGAGTTATACTGGTGGATTTAATAGTAGTGGTGGTAGTAATGTGAATGCAAATGTGAATGTTAATGCTAATGTTAATAAGAGTTCGAATCTTGGGGGTCAGTCGATGAAGAGCATGACTGGAAATGGGATGCGTGGTAATAAGGATCCATTTGGTTCTCTGTTTGATATGGGATCGAAGCAATCGGGTAGTCTTAATTCAGCAAGTAAAGGGGATAATAACAGTCGTGGTGTTGATTCTTTTGGAGAGTTCCAGAATGCCTCTAAACCCAGTACAACAGCATTCCCTTCAAGCGGTGTTGCTTCAAGTAATAATGATTTTATGGCATCAAATTTGGGCTCTGATTTTGGGGCATTCAAGGATCATGGTTCTCAGAATAAGTCCTCTGGTCAAAGTCAAAGTACTGGTGGCGATCCACTTGACATGTTCTTTTCCTCATCGTCAGCTGCAACAGGAAGTGCTGCTACTGCATTTAGTGGAGGGCAGCAGTTTTCAGAAGATGATTGGGGATTGGAATCCGATTTTGGAGGAGGAAACGATACTGGCGGTACTACCACTGAGCTTGAAGGGCTGCCTCCTCCTCCAGCTGGGGTAACTGGTGCTGCTGCAAAGAACAAGGGTATAGATAATCAAAAGGCAGGCCAATATGCTGATGCCATTAAGTGGTTGTCTTGGGCTGTTATACTTTTTGAGAAATCAGGTGATGAGGATGCTACAAAGGATGTTTTATCGACTAGGGCTTCATGTTATAAAGAAGTTGGGGAGTATAAGAAGGCTGTGGCTGACTGTTCAAAGGTATTATCAATCATCTCTTTCCTTTGGCTTCATTATTTCTAGCAGTTTGTTAGGAACTTTATTTTTAATCTGAAACATAATTGTTTAGTTTGCAAATAGGAATTTGTGAGTATGTGTTGGTTTTTGAATCATCTGAGCACGTACTATATGTTGTGGGCCTCAAGTTATAAGTATCACAAAATTCTTATTGGTCGTTTGGGGCTGAAGAATTAGCTGGCTACTATTTGGTCAGTATTCAGTCTACAAATATTAATAATGTTGAGAAATTTTAGCGGTAGAATTTTGGTGTCAGTGAAGTAGATTCTGGATCATTCTTATGTTACAAGCTTCTCAAATCAATTGAAAGCTTCACTTTGCTCAGTTTAAAGTTGATTGATGATTAATTCTTTGCTCTNTCTGGTGGTGCTGAAGGTGTGTTAAGAGACTGAAAGTCTGAAACTGCAATGGAAAAGTTGCTCCTCGTACCTAAGGGGCAGAGAATACTACATCCTTCTTTCAGTTGGTGGAAGGATATAATATTTAGATCAAAGAAGAGCAAGAAAGAGATTGAGTAAACATTTGCAGCTGGGAAAAGGGAAAAGAATATGATTGCTTAGCTTAAATATGTATCTTTCATTAATGGATTAACATGACCTTTTGATAGAGCCATATGCAAATATGAGTTCTGTAATTTCATATTTTCATACTTTCTCAGGTCACCTAGCTAGCAAAAGGTTTGAGATGTCTTTACCAATCAATTAATTCCACTGATAGGGCCAATGTTTTAAAATTCAGAAGAACCAAAAAAGTGAGTAGAATTTTACAAAAATACCCTTCTAAAAGGGCAGAATTACTATCTGCTCCCTACTAAAAATGGTTTTTGGGATCCAATTCCATATCAGTGATGTCAACTCAGAAGCTGTCCAAATTCCCCACCGTCTCTGCCTGCAGGAATCCCTCCGATCTCCATTTCTCGACATCTTGTTTTACAAGGTATGTTTTCTAGCTAAACCAGATCTACAAATTTTATCACCTCGCTTTTAATTCACAAATTTTTGCGTATTTTATTTCTCTATTTCATTTTTTAATACAAAATTTACAAATTAGACAATAAACCATGAATTCCAATTACGGAAAACCTAAAGGATCAACATCCGGTTCACTCAATAACTTCAATTTTGATCTCGATCTCGGTCTCGGGTCTGGTCGGCCCAAGTCACTTAATGACCAAAAAAACAGAACCACGTCGTCGTTTCAATCTTCATATTCATCGTCGACGACAACACAGACTCAATCAAAGCCCACGTGGCAGCCAAACAAGCCATCGTGGACTCATCAACCGGCGCCGAGTCAGTCCGGGGTACAAAATGCACCCACTTCAATGGTGGGTGATATACGTGGCAAGAGTTGGCCGGCAAAATCAAGTTCTGGGATTGGGATTGGAATAGTTGATAAGAATCCTAATCTGTTTGGTGATCTTGTTAGCTCTGCTTTAGGTCAGGGTAAGAGTAATAGTAATGTTCCTTTGAAAAATGCAACACCGGTGGCATCCAATAAGAGTTCATATTCGAAGGGGAATTTGGCTGATTCATTACCGAAAACGAGTAATTCATCGAAAAGTAGTGGAAATTGGGGGTCTGGAGAGAGTTTTGGGAGTTATACTGGTGGATTTAATAGTAGTGGTGGTAGTAATGTGAATGCAAATGTGAATGTTAATGCTAATGTTAATAAGAGTTCGAATCTTGGGGGTCAGTCGATGAAGAGCATGACTGGAAATGGGATGCGTGGTAATAAGGATCCATTTGGTTCTCTGTTTGATATGGGATCGAAGCAATCGGGTAGTCTTAATTCAGCAAGTAAAGGGGATAATAACAGTCGTGGTGTTGATTCTTTTGGAGAGTTCCAGAATGCCTCTAAACCCAGTACAACAGCATTCCCTTCAAGCGGTGTTGCTTCAAGTAATAATGATTTTATGGCATCAAATTTGGGCTCTGATTTTGGGGCATTCAAGGATCATGGTTCTCAGAATAAGTCCTCTGGTCAAAGTCAAAGTACTGGTGGCGATCCACTTGACATGTTCTTTTCCTCATCGTCAGCTGCAACAGGAAGTGCTGCTACTGCATTTAGTGGAGGGCAGCAGTTTTCAGAAGATGATTGGGGATTGGAATCCGATTTTGGAGGAGGAAACGATACTGGCGGTACTACCACTGAGCTTGAAGGGCTGCCTCCTCCTCCAGCTGGGGTAACTGGTGCTGCTGCAAAGAACAAGGGTATAGATAATCAAAAGGCAGGCCAATATGCTGATGCCATTAAGTGGTTGTCTTGGGCTGTTATACTTTTTGAGAAATCAGGTGATGAGGATGCTACAAAGGAGGTTTTATCGACTAGGGCTTCATGTTATAAAGAAGTTGGGGAGTATAAGAAGGCTGTGGCTGACTGTTCAAAGGTATTATCAATCATCTCTATCCTTTGGCTTCATTATTTCTAGCAGTTTGTTAGGAACTTTGTTTTTAATCTGAAACATAACTGTTTAGTTTGCAAATAGGAATTTGTGAGTATGTGTTGGTTTTTGAATCATCTGAGCACGTACTATATGTTGTGGGCCTCAAGTTATAAGTATCACAAAATTCTTATTGGTCGTTAGGGGCTGAAGAATTAGCTGGCTACCATTTGGTCAGTATTCAGTCTACAAATATTAATAATATTGAGAAATTTTAGCTGTAGAATTTTGGTGTCAGTGAAGTAGATTCTGGATCATTCTTATGTTACAAGCTTCTCAAATCAATTGAAAGCTTCACTCTGCTCAGTTTAAAGTTGATTGATGATTAATTCTTTGCTCTCAGGACTATAAGTAGACCATTTCTCACTGGCTGCTATTGTGCCAATTGCCAATTTGAGGCTTGTATTATTTTTTAAGTGGAATATCATTCAGTTTTTTCAGTTTCTATTCATTGATTAGTTCTGTTAATGCAAGTAATCGACAATGGCTGATTTAAACAATGGTAATCGGCAGAGCGATTCAAATTCCCTTATATGCAGATAATAATATAATGTCCTATAATTTTTCTGACTATCATTTGTGTGGGGCTTATTAGTTTGAATTCTTCTGTGCAGGTGCTAGAACAAGATGAAGCAAATGTATCCATTCTTGTACAGCGTGCACTCCTGTATGAAAGCATGGAAAAGTATAAACTTGGGGCCGAAGACCTGAGGACTGTTCTGAAGATTGATCCTATTAACCGGATTGCAAGAAGTACCATTCATCGCTTGGCAAAAATGGCAGATTAGAGAGGTTTTGGGATTATTTTTTGTTGTTTGTATTAGCTCCTTTATTTAGCTCAATGCCTTTTCCCCTCCCACTATACGAAGTTGTGGGGAATTATAACAATTTTCCATGATACGTGGATTTGATATGATCATTGTGTCCTTCTGGAGGATTTTACATGTATGATGTGTTTGATATCTTTTATTGTTTTGTGACTGGAAATGATTTTTCTTTGTTGCCATAAAATGGTTTTCAAAATTTGCAGTTGGATTGTCAAGTGTACTGTTTTTTTTTCATATATATGAAACTATTAAATCTATTGCCTTCTTGTTTTCGTTTGTTTCTCTGTTTTCACAGTGACCTCAGAATTTATTTAATATTACAGAGTAGATTGAATCTCAGAGCTGCGCAGTTGTGAAATAATTGAAGCTGTTGATGATAGAAGTAAAGATAAGTTGGTCTCAGTTAAAAACAGCACACCAGAAGGATGGTAAAAATTTGAGAGAAATTCTGAAGAGTTAAGTAAACGACATAAAGTATGAGATATAGATGAAATTTAAAAGCAAATGATATTTGAAAATGGCCTGATACTACTGAGTGATGAAGATGAGGTCAGTTGTTGATAGACTGGGGACAACAGAGTCAAAACATTATAGCAAACAAACAGAGACAGCCGCACTTATGATAAAAAGTGTTGAGCTGAGCATCGATGTTCAAAAGGTCCAAACTTCTCTTACTCGCATTCAGTCTTGATGTTTGGCCACATTACCGCAATTACCAATTTTTAGTGATAAATGAAAGCGGCCATTTGGAAGATACCTTTGTAGTTTGTTACGAGCGAAGAATACTATGGACAAGTTGTAGCCGTTAAAGAAAAAAGGACGAAACTGAATCACAAGATCTCCTAATCAATTGATTGATTGATGGAGTATATCCGTGATATAAAAATAAAAAAAAAAATTAAAAAAAAAACTTTTTTTTCTTGTCCTACCTATCAACAACTATTCCTTGTTTAATACTCCGTTAAACTTTGTGAGTGTATTATTTAAGATATTTTGAATTCAATTCAGGATCTCTATTGAGAAATTTTACTCGGTTATCAACTTTAGAACCCCAAAAGATTAGTTGAGGTACACGTAAACTGGATCAGACACCTCTTGACCAAAAAAAACAAAAATCATCTACTATATTTGTGATTTATTGACTCGTTGTGGTTCATTAAACTATATTACTGATAGATATTATATGGCTGTAATTATGATTTTCCCAGTTCAAAATATCTGTTGCGCGGGTTGGAATGAAGTGGGAAAACCTCCTTCATCTGGGTGTAATGTAAACACTGTTAACAGCTGTTGAAGGATGGCTGATAAAATATAAAATTGAGTAAAGATCAGAGAGAATACGGGTTAGGAAGCAGAAACAGAAAGCGTTTCTTTGCAACTACGGCCTTACCTGTTTCCTAAAAGCCTGCAACATTTTGGCCCTTTTTATGATGCAATCAATATTATCCTCAAACCACCTCATGCTTTATAGTTTATCCTTCTGTGGTTTCCCCGCGGCCCCCCCCCCCCCACAGTCACGCCGATCTTAGGCTACTGGGTTTATTTTTATTTACTCACGTAAATCGCTTTACGTAAAACGGGTTTATTTCATTTCCTTGACATAAATGGCTTAATATGAAACCAACGGCCTAGACAGGATTTCTGGCTACTGGGATCAAAAGGTTTAAATTGAAAAATTTACCATAAAATATATATGCTGGAGTATTAAACTGAACAAAAATCAAATGCATTATTCAAAATTAATTAAACCTAGCTCATTCAACATGCAATTATGTCAATTATATATATAAAATGGTAAAAATAACCTAAGACAACACAATTCATAATCTTTCATCAATTAAAAGAGATATAAAAAGGGATTTTTAAGCAAAATAACAAAAAAAAATAAGCATATCTTACCTTGTGACCTCAAAATGAGTAGTTTTTTTTATTAATTCAATCAAATGAAAAAGAAAGTATGAGAGAAGAGAAAATGAACTAAAAAATAAAGAAAATGTGAGTATTTTCGAATCACATGATCAATGAAATATGAAAATATCTTAGGAAAGTCAATAAAATATGAGTAATTTTAGTGGGATCAAAATTGTTAATTATTATGAAATATAAACCTATTTTTAATAATTTTAGAATTCCAATAGGGTCAAGTGACCTCACTAAATATACTTTAGTGATGCCCTTGTATGAAATATATCGATTAATTATTAAAATATATTAATAACGGAAACATTCATATTAAACAATCTCATATGAGGTAAATGGAATAAACATTTATTTACGTTTACAATTTTATGTTTGTTTAGTTTACGAGATTAGCTAAATTTAGATAGAAAAAAAACAAAAATCCAATATACATTAATTAGTTTCCGCGTTTGGCAAAGCCTACTTGATACCACAATACAATGTGATAGTGTCAAAGACTCAAGTGTCATTTAATTAGTAGGTTAATGGCTTGATTGGAATTATGCCTTAAATTTAAGGTAAAATAATAAAAACGCCACTCAAAATGACCAAAGTACAAACCCACCCTTCCGTTAAATTTTGTAGCTACCCTGACGTACGTTACATGACAACAACAATCCTCGTGAAGAGCACAACTTACAGAACCGTCATTTCCTCTGTCAGTCACCGCTCGCCACGTCACCATTTCACCACCAACTTGTCTTAATAACCCCACATCTGGACCCCACTTTCACTTATTTCTAAATCCCCCCCATAATCGCACGGTCATAATCCCTTTTTTTCTTTTTTCGGGCCCTGGTCCCGGCTTTTGCGTTGATTCAACTTTACTGATCTTCTCTCCACCGTCTGATCATCAAAATCGAAACAAAAACAAAAGAAAATAAAAAGAACACAGAGAAAGTTAATGCCCATTTGTCTGTTTGTGGGGAGATTAAAAAAGTAACCGCCGCAGGCTCTATAAATATAAGACCTTATGTAGTTAACCTTCTCTCTCACTGCAACACATTACAAGACAAAACTATATAGTTATCTTCTCTCTTCTCTCTCTTTGCTTTCTCATAAATTAAACACAGAAAAAGATGTGTGGCGGTGCCATTATTTCCGATCTCATTGATTTGAAGCGTGGCCGGAAATTGACCGCGGAAGACTTGTGGTCGGAGCTTGACACCATTTCTGACCTCTTGGGCTTGGACTACAATAAGCAGTTTGATGCTCAAAAACCTGGCCAACCTCAGAAAGGTAACATTAATTTCTTCTTCTTTTTCTTCATCTGGGTATCTTTAAAGGTTCAATCTTGGTTGCTCTTTGCTAATTTTTCTACTTTGCTGCCGTGAAAACCTATGTTTATTTCTCTTGTTAGTCAGCTTTTTTTTTTTTTTTTTTGGGTCGAGATTATCATTTAATGCACCTTAATAAATATGGCAGAGCCAGAATATAATATGAAATCTTACTCTGCCCATAAATTAATAATTTCAGTGTTTCATGTTACCTCAACTAAACTTGGTTTATGGTGGTAAAAATTTTAAAAAGAAAATTATGATTACATAAATATAATTTAATTTTGTGTTCATACATAAAGAGTTTAATCTCTTTGTAAAAGTAATTTTTTTTTTTTAATATATATAGTGAGGAATGAAAAAGGTGAAAAGAAGAAGCAGACGGATGGTAAAGCCAAGACTCAACGAACTCGGAAGAACGTGTACAGAGGAATAAGGCAGAGGCCGTGGGGGAAGTGGGCGGCTGAAATTAGAGACCCTCGCAAAGGTGTCCGAGTCTGGCTCGGTACCTACAACACAGCCGAAGAAGCCGCTAGAGCCTACGATGAAGCCGCCAAGCGCATACGTGGCGACAAGGCCAAGCTCAACTTTGCTCAACCACCACCTCAAGCTGAACCTTCGTCTAAGAAACGCTGTATATCACCACCTGAGTTGACTCAGACGAGTTTACCAGCAGCGTGCGTGGATTTCGGGTTTGAAAACGAGTTTTATCAACCCAGTGAAGTGGGGAGTAACGAGCTGGCGCTGGAAGAGCAAATCTCGAGCTTGGAATCGTTCCTGGGCCTGGAGCCAACAAGTCGGCAGCTGAGCGGAAACAGTGAGTGTGACTCGAATGACTTCTGGATGCTGGATGACGCGGTGGCGCCTGTGCCTGTTCATCAGCAGAATCTTGATGAGGATCAGCTCCTAATGTACTAGGGAAACCAAAAAAAACATAATAATAGCAATAACCAAAGTATAGTGTGGTTCTTTTTCTTTCGTTTGTGTTATGCTTTGATGTTGGGTTTATGTGGTTGAAATTAAAAGACTCTAGTGATTCTCTGTGCATTGTAAAGACGAGATAATAAGCAGAGAAATAGCTAGCAGTTGCTTCTTGTTCCATGCAGAAAGAGAAGCATCTTTTCTTTCTGTGTCTTATATTGTATGCATGGCTGTTTTCGAAACTGTCGGTGCCTGTACAAGATCTTCCTGCTTATGTTATTACATGCATAACATTGTTATCGTTGTTTCTGAAATTAATTTGAGACCTTTCGTAGGAAGGAGGAAGATGTATTACTGTTTGGTTGGTTTATTATATTAATCCTAGATATTAACGAAAGATTTTCTGTATCTGATACACTGTCGCTACATGATGCATCAGCGTCACCATTGACTGCCGGCCATTAAATATTTACTTCATATATAAATCCTACCCTTAACTTATCCTATTCTTAAAGGGGTCTTACACATGAGGCAGAGCTAATATTATTTTATATGTCAACTTGATGCACATTATAATATTGTTATTGTTAACTTTTTGAAAACTTTTTTTCGTTTTTAACCAAGCTGTCCAGGATCAATGTTATGAAACCCGACCCGGGTGTTACCCAATCAAAGGGTAGGTCCTAGGTTGACCGGTTTAATCGGCATTCTGTTCGTGATCTAGCAAGTTTAAAATCTAACAAACACACTCTTAATAAATACTATCAATCCATATAAGTTTGAAATCAAGCAAACACACTCTGTAACAGTGGGGTTTTTTTCCTTTCTCTCAATCTCTTTGAGTTTTTAAAACAAATGTTTGGACTAGTTTATACGTACCTCGATTAATCATCAGACAGATTAACGTGCGCAACAATCTACTGTCATACCCTCCCACTTAAACCACGAATGTTTAGATAGAAAGCCTTTAGAGAACATTATTGGGGCTTTCGTTTATTCCATTTTTGCTTTATATTATTATAGGAATGAACTTGGCAGATGGAAGATAAATGAGATAAATACGTAGAAGCTTCATTACCCAGAGATTCCCATGGAATATGCAATTTAAACAGGTTAGCAATATTTCATAATGAGTTGAGTGAACTAGTTGTTGTCATAATATTATTATTTATTAGGGTGGTCTTTCAAGAGATCTCATTCTCACTTTGAAAAGCTGCTTCAATCTGTAGAATTCAACTATGGTAAAATAAAATAAAAGGATCAATCAAAATGCAGTAATTAAAGTCAGTGATAATAACTTTCCACCATAAAATAAAATGCATGCACCATCCGTGAAAAGGGTAAACAATTAAAGTCCAAGATGAAGACCTGTGGATGACTCCTTCGACGACTGTTCTGTAAATAGCTATAAACCTAAATAATTGACTCCATTATTCAAAGCTTGAGGTTGTCGGATTTTCTGATATATGGATGTCACTACTTGCGCAATCGCTTTTCAATTTTTAAACAATCAATCAGGTTTTGAAATTTGCCTTTAATCAGTTGATGCATCAAAGTCAAGAAGCTCTGGAAATTAAGTGAAAATGTGAAATAGAGACCTAATAATTATCACACTCGTCAACCTATTTCTCTGTTGTTGAATCTGCAGGAATTAATTTCTCTTAATACCAATGAACTCCATATAACGTAAGGGTCGAAAATATGAAAACTATTCTAAGAATCGTGATTGATACGAACACCACAGGTATGAAACTCAAAGACTGGCCCATCTTTAGAGCATGCAGAAGACTCTCTCCTGCATTGAAATAATACAGGACAAATGTCACAAACTCCGCTAAAACTGTCTATATATATATATATCAGCCAAAGAGCTAATTTGACTGTAACTCTATCGATCACAAGGGTTTGTATCGTATGCAGTATTCAACCAGAAATTATGATTAAACTGTTAGGATATTATTAAAAGGAAACAAATAGACATATAATTTTTAAGTCAAATCGAATTTCAGAAGGTTGGTGAGACACCAGACGGAATAATTGAAAATTAGAATCCTCGGGTGAGAAGGTTCATGAACCAAACTAAGCGTGTGTCATACCATCAATCCAAGTGGGGCCTCTATATTTAGTAATTATAAATTACTGGAAATTAGATTCATGTTAGCTGACTCATCATCTCCGACTTCTTCAACAAAAAACAATTATGAATTAGCCTCTTATTTTTTTTATTTTTTTTATTTTTTTGTTTTTTTGGGTGGGGGGAGTGTTTTGAGCTAACTTGCGTCACCTCTAGTCACTCTCTCAAACCTTAAAATTAATAAACAAGTAACCTTTCAAATAACCATGGGCTAATCTATCAGGATTTTAAAGTTAATCGAGAAATAAATTGGTCAATGATCACCTTTATTAACAATTGAGAATAATCGAATTCAAGATCTCTTGAATAATATATTCAAAAGTCTTTATTATTCTACTCAATCTTCCATAAATGGTTGACTTAGCTCTTATTGTGAGTTGAAAATAAGGACCCATGAATGCCACTTTGGATTTCTTTTATAAAGTACCCAATCCAATTGCATTTATTTAAAGTATAAAATTATTTTCATTCATATCTTTTAGTTTTGAAAGGAACACTGGTCGTAAATTCATGCATTTAAGATATGGCAGAGCTTTCAGCACTCTTAAGAATAATTGTAAAATGGATAAATTTGATCTAAACTCAATCATTAACAAAACACTAAATATTACGAAAAGAATTTCAACACTCTTAGATAAATTAAAAGGGATAGAGATAGATTCACTTCACATGGCTGCATCACCTTCACACTCAATCTATTGTTCATAGTTGTACTCGAAATATTAAAGAATTACAACTTGCAACAACAGATAACCACCAAGTAATGTATATGCCAAGACTCTGCCTGATCATTCTTCTGTCTCAATCACCTTACAGAAACAACTATATTAACAGTGTGCAGCATTGGTTACAAATGTCATTGCCTCTGATGGGAAAGGAAATGGAAATAGCTAGGAATGGCAATAGCAGTGGCTCCTGGTGTAACAAATCCCACATCGAAAGCGTATTGGACAGGTCTTGGGCTTATAAATAGGGAGAGTTATTCTACCTAATAGGTTAACTTTTTGGGTATAAAACTCCCAACCCGTGACAAGTGGTATCAGCATAGGCCTGATCCGTCTTTCGATGTCTTGCCAAACACCCACGCGTTCACGTGTAATTGTGGGTCCATATGAGAGTGAGGTGGATGGGTAGGCAAGGGATCCCACCTGTGACCAGAGCGTCAGAGAATTGGTTGGAGAAGAATATAACGAATCTCATATTGGAAGCGTATTAGGGAGGTCCTGAACCTATAAATGAGAGAAGTTCTTCTACTTAATAGGTTAACCTTTTGAGTGTGAAACTCCCAGACCCGTGACGCTGATTAAATTAGATCTATCAATATGTGCCCTCGCTATTGGTTTTTTGCAACTCAAATGCGATTAAAAGGAGGAACAATGCAAAGGATCCATCTAATCGACGACAATGCGAATCCCAAACTTTCTAAGCAAATCACTATACTAATCAGTCATGAGCATTCAATGATCCACACCAGTTACAATGTAAATTAATGAATGGGGCACAAAACACAATCGAAACATTAAAACAATAAAATATGAATTCTAACTTTGAGAATTTCCGATTTTGGTAGCAATTAACAGACCAAGAGATTAACGATTTGGCTAAGCCACTTAGAATTTCATTATTGTTATAAACAGTGATAAAACAAAGGGAGCTAGAACATGTTTCCACCCAAGGTTTGGTGAAACGACACTTTCTCACCCTTCAAGTTTCAAAATGACACTTTTCAATTCTTTGTTAGATTCTATTATGTTTTCTATTAATATTTTACTGAAAAGACAAAACTACAATTTATTTGAAATGCAAATGCGAATGGTCATAGGAAAGAGAAAGATCATTGTGCTGGGAATGGGTAAGGGAAGGGGAAATGGAGTTGGAATGGGAGTGGGAATGGGAAAGGGAAGGGGAAAGGGAGTTGGAATGGGAAAGGGAAAGGGAATGGAAATGGGAACTAGAATAAGAATAATAATTGGAATAGGAATAGGAACCCGAACGTTTTCTTCAGCGTGTATATATATATATATATGTATATATGTAACATTTCCTTCAATCTTTCGCTAATGACAACGCCACAGTCTCATGCTGCAATACTAATCTATGTGATGTCCAAAATGCTGATGTCTCAACATGACGAGAATTGTCAATCAACGGCAGTAACTATATCCTCCCTTGACATCAACATTCTAAAGCGAGTGCTTTCGTGAAAAAGGCCTAATTCAGACCAAACAATCAGCAAACTCAAACCTTTTCTACAAAAGTTGCCCTTGACCTAGGGGTGTGCAAAATTACCCATTACCCAAACTGAACATGGTAATCGAACCGAATCTTATCGAATTTTTCGGATATCCAAAAATCTAGGTCAAGTTCGAGTAGTACATTAGGAGATACCCAAATTTAGGGTTTGGGTACCAAGTTAGTTTTAAAATAAACCGGGTACCCGAATTATACCCGATTTAAATAAAAAAGAATTAAAAAAAAAAAAAAACAAATAGACATATAATTTTTAAGTCAAATCGAATTTCAGAAGGTTGGTGAGACACCAGACGGAATAATTGAAAATTAGAATCCTCGGGTGAGAAGGTTCATGAACCAAACTAAGCGTGTGTCATACCATCAATCCAAGTGGGGCCTCTATGCAGAGCCAGAATATAATATGAAATCTTACTCTGCCCATAAATTAATAATTTCAGTGTTTCATGTTACCTCAACTAAACTTGGTTTATGGTGGTAAAAATTTTAAAAAGAAAATTATGATTACATAAATATAATTTAATTTTGTGTTCATACATAAAGAGTTTAATCTCTTTGTAAAAGTAATTTTTTTTTTTTAATATATATAGTGAGGAATGAAAAAGGTGAAAAGAAGAAGCAGACGGATGGTAAAGCCAAGACTCAACGAACTCGGAAGAACGTGTACAGAGGAATAAGGCAGAGGCCGTGGGGGAAGTGGGCGGCTGAAATTAGAGACCCTCGCAAAGGTGTCCGAGTCTGGCTCGGTACCTACAACACAGCCGAAGAAGCCGCTAGAGCCTACGATGAAGCCGCCAAGCGCATACGTGGCGACAAGGCCAAGCTCAACTTTGCTCAACCACCACCTCAAGCTGAACCTTCGTCTAAGAAACGCTGTATATCACCACCTGAGTTGACTCAGACGAGTTTACCAGCAGCGTGCGTGGATTTCGGGTTTGAAAACGAGTTTTATCAACCCAGTGAAGTGGGGAGTAACGAGCTGGCGCTGGAAGAGCAAATCTCGAGCTTGGAATCGTTCCTGGGCCTGGAGCCAACAAGTCGGCAGCTGAGCGGAAACAGTGAGTGTGACTCGAATGACTTCTGGATGCTGGATGACGCGGTGGCGCCTGTGCCTGTTCATCAGCAGAATCTTGATGAGGATCAGCTCCTAATGTACTAGGGAAACCAAAAAAAACATAATAATAGCAATAACCAAAGTATAGTGTGGTTCTTTTTCTTTCGTTTGTGTTATGCTTTGATGTTGGGTTTATGTGGTTGAAATTAAAAGACTCTAGTGATTCTCTGTGCATTGTAAAGACGAGATAATAAGCAGAGAAATAGCTAGCAGTTGCTTCTTGTTCCATGCAGAAAAAGAAGCATCTTTTCTTTCTCTGTCTTATATTGTATGCATGGCTGTTTTCGATACTGTCGGTGCCTGTACAAGATCTTCCTGCTTATTTTGTTACATGCATAACATTGTTATCGTTGTTTCTGAAATTAATTTGAGACCTTCCGTAGGAAGGAGGAAGATGTATTACTGTTTGGTTGGTTTATTATATTAATCCTAGATATTAACGAAAGATTCTCTATATCTGATACACTGTCGCTATACGAATCATACGATGCATCAGCGTCACCATTGATTGCCGGCCATTAAATATATACTTCATATATAAATCCGACCCTTTACTTATCCTATTCTTAAAGGGGTCTTACACATGAAGCAGAGCTAATATTAATTTATATGTCAACTTGATACACATTATAATATTGTTATTGTGAACTTTTTGAAAACTTTTTTTGTTTTTTGTTTTTTAACCAAGGTGTCCAGGACCAATGTTATGAAGCCCGACCCGAGTGTTACCCGGCCAAGGGGTCAGATCCCAGGTGGACCGGTTAAATCGACAGTTTGTCCTAAGGAAACCTTTTGAGATCATTATGGGGGCTTTCATTTATTCCTTTTTTGCTTTATATTATTATAGGAATGAACTTGGCAGATGGAGGATAAATGAGATAAATACGTAGAAGCTTCATTACCCAGAGATTCCCAGGGATTATGCAATTTAAATGAGTGAACTAGTTGTTGTAATAATATTATTATTTATTAGGGTGATCTTACAAGAGATCTCATTCTCACTTTGAAAAGCTGCTTCAATCTGTAGAATTCAACTATGGTGAAAAAAAAAAAAAAAGATCAATCAAAATGCAGTAATTAAAGTCAGTGATAATAACTTTCCACCATAAAATAAAATGCATGCACCATCCGTGAAATGGGTAAACAATTAAAGTCCAAGATGAAGACCAGTGGATGACTCCTTCGACGACTGTTCTGTAACTAGCTATTAACCTAAATAATTGACTCCATTATTCAAAGCTTGAGGTTGTCGGATTTTCTGATATATGTATGTCACTACTTGCGCAATTGCTTTTCAATTTTGAAACAATCAATCAGGTTTTGAAATTTGCCATTAATCAGTCGATGCATCAAAGTCAAGAAGCTCTGGAAATTAAGTGAAAATGTGAAATAGAGACCTAATAATTATCACACTCGTCAACCTATTTCTCTGTTGTTGAATCTGCAGGAATTAATTTCTCTTAATACCAATGAACTCCATATAACGTAAGGGTCGAAAATATGAAAACTATTCTAAGAATCGTGATTGATACGAACACCACAGGTATGAAACTCAAAGACTGGCCCATCTTTAGAGCATGCAGAAGACTCTCTCCTGCATTGAAATAATACAGGACAAATGTCACAAACTCCGCTAAAACTGTCTATATATATATATATCAGCCAAAGAGCTAATTTGACTGTAACTCTATCGATCACAAGGGTTTGTATCGTATGCAGTATTCAACCAGAAATTATGATTAAACTGTTAGGATATTATTAAAAGGAAACAAATAGACATATAATTTTTAAGTCAAATCGAATTTCATAAGGTTGGTGAGACACCAGACGGAATAATTGAAAATTAGAATCCTCGGGTGAGAAGGTTCATGAACCAAACTAAGCGTGTGTCATACTATCAATCCAAGTGGGGCCTCTATATTTAGTAATTATAAATTACTGGAAATTAGGTTCATGTTAGCTGACTCGTCATCTCCAACTTCTTCAACAAAAAGCAATTATGAATTACCACTTTTTTTTTTTTTTTGGATTTTTTGTTTTTTGGGGTGGAGGGAGTGTTCGAGCTGGCTTGCGTCACCTCGACTAATCCTCTCAAACCTTAAAATTAATGACCGAGTAACCTCTCTAATGACCATTAGCTAATCTCCGAGGATTCTGAAGTTAATCGACGAATAAATTCGTTAATGACTATTCCTATTAACACTTGAGGGGAATCGAATTTAAGATCTCTTGAGTAATATATTCAAGAGTCTTTATTGCTTCACCCGATCATCCAAAAATAGTTGACTTAGCTCTTATTGTGAGCTGAAAATAAAGACCCATGAATGCCACTTTGGATTTCTTTTATAAAGTACCCAATCCAATTGCATTTATTTAAAGTATAAAATTATTTTCATTCATATCTTTTAGTTTTGAAAGGAACACTGGTCGTAAATTCATGCATTTAAGATATGGCAGAGCTTTCAGCACTCAAGAATAATTGTAAAATGGATAAATTTGATCTAAATTCAATCATTAACAAAACACTAAATATTACGAAAAGAAATTCAACACTCTTAGATATATTAAAAGGGATAGAGATAGATTCACTTCACATGGCTGCATCCCCTTCACACTCAAGTTATTGTTCATAGTTGTACGCGAAATATTAAAGAATTACAACTTGCAACAACGGATAACCATCAAGTAATGTATATGCCAAGACTCTCTGATCATTCTTCTGTCTCAATCACCTTACAGAAACAACTATATTAACAGTGTGCAGCATTGGTTACAAATGTCGTTGCCTCTGTTGGGAAAGGAAAAGGAAACGGAAATAGCTAGGAATAGCAATAGCAGTGGCTCTCTGGTGTAACGAATCCCACATCTAAAATGTATGAGAGAGGTCATGGGCTTATAAATGGGGAGAGTCCCTCCTACTAATAGGTTAACTTTTTTTATGTGAAACTCTCAGCCCGTGACAAGTGGTATCAGAGCAGACCCAATCCATTTTTCGATGTCTCGCCAAGCGCCTATACAGGGGCGTCTACGTGTGATTATGGATCCATACGAGAGTGGGGTAGACGGGTAGGCAGGGGGCTTCACTTGTAACGAGAGCGTCACAAGATTGGGTGGGGAAAAATGTAACGAATCTCGCATTGAAAACTTATTAGAAAGGTCATAGACTTATAAATGAAAGAAGTCCTTCTATTTAATAGATTAGCCTTTTGAGTATAAAACTCTAACCCGTGACACTAGCTAAATTAGATCCATCAATACATGCCTTCGGTATTGGTTTTTGCAACTCAAATGCGATTAAAAGGACGAACAATGCAAAGAATCCATCTAATAGACGACAATGCGAATCCCAAACTTGCTAACCAAATCACCATACTAATCAGTCATGTCAATGATCCACACAAGTTACAATGTAAATTAATGAATGAGGCACAAAACATGATCGAAACATTAAAACAATAAAATATGAATTCTAACTTTGAGAATTTCCGATTTTAGTAGCAATTAACAGACCAAGAGATTAACTATATTGCTAAGCCAATTGGAATTTCATTATTGTTATAAACAGTGATAAAACAAAAATTACAATTATAATATACCATACTTCATACAACCTCACTTGTTAAACTACAATTTACTTGGAATTGGAATGCGAATGGGAATAGGAAAGGGAAAGGTCATTGTGCTGGGAATGGGAAAGGGAAGGGGGAACGGAGTTGGAATGGGAGTGGAAATGGGAAAGGGAAGGGGAAAGAGAGTTGGAACGGGAAGGGGAACGGGAAGGGGAACTGAAATAAGAATAATAATTGGAATAGGAATAGGAATAGGAACCCGAATAGGGAATAGAAACCGAAACAGGAATAGGAACCGGAGCAGGAATAGAAATCAGAATAGGAATGAAAACCTGAATAAGAATAGAAATTGAAATAAATCTTAAAAGTTTTTTTGAGGGTTTTCTTCAGCGTGTATATATATATAACATTTCCATCGATCTTTCTCTAATGACAACGCCAGTCTCATGCTGCAATACTAATCTATGTGACGTCCAAAATGCTGTTGTCTCAACATGACAAGAATTGTCAATCACGGCAGTAACTATATCCTCCCTTAACATCAACATCCTAAAGCAAGTGGTTTCGTGAAAAATGCCAAATTCAGACCAAACAATCAGCAAACTCAAACCTTTTATGCAAAAGTTGCCCTCGACCGAGGGGTGTGCAAAACTCAAACCTTTTATGCAAAAGTTGCCCTCAACCGAGGGGTGTGCATAATTATTTGTTACCCGAACCGAACACGGCAATCAAACCGAACCGTACCGAATTTTTCGGATATCTAAAAATCCGGGTCGGGTTCTAGTAGTGCATTAAGAGATACCCAAATTTTAGGTTCGAGTACCAGATCAATGTTAAAATAAACCAGGTACCTGAATTATACCTGATTTAAATAAAAAAGAATTAAAAGAAAAACCTTAAATCTAAAACTCTTAAAACACAATTTCGATTACTCAAAACTCCAATTCTCCAATTCTCATCCCCTTCTTCTTGAATCTCAACTTCTCCAAATCGATTTAACCTTACCCCCCACCACCCCTTTCTTCCCTAAGCCTCACCAATCAAAACCCCTCAACCTTTGTTCTCGCCCACGTCGTCTTTCGCCGTAAATCGCATGATTTGTGGATCACACGAATGCTGCCTCCCTCATCAGATTCTAACCAACTCTGACCACCAAAATCTAACCTTTAACTACCAAAAATACTCTCCAGCCTTTCCTCTCCATAACCCCCATCTGACTGGCCCGAGATTGTTCACCGTTCGTCGACAGCTTCCTCTAGGGTTTCTTTTGTATGATTTTGTAGTTGGATTTGATTGGAGCACTTGTGGAGTTGATTGGGAGAAATTGTTTGTGCTTTTTTGGAGTCGGTGTTATTTTCTCTGTTGTGATGGGTTTTTCCGATTGTTTCTTGTCGCTGGTGAGCTGTCCTTCTTGGGTTTCACTTCACACCCACCAATTGTTCGGAGAAAGGCTACAGCTGTTGTGTCGTAATTACAGTGTTGATATTGATGGCAATTTGAAGAAGCGAATTCGGTTCAGAAACTAGGCACCCGATAACCAAACCAAAAATTCCAGTATCCGAATACCCTAAAAACTGGTTCGATTATCGAGTATACTCATAGGGGTACCCCGAATATTCGGGTCGGGTCAGAAAGTTGCAAAACTAGTTTGGGTACCCAGTTTTGCACACCCCTACCTCAACCTCGATTCCAGAAGCATGAAGTCGTTGTAGCCCCTTCTGATATTATGTTTCACTCTCAAAATCATCTATGCACTATCTATATACTGTTACTCAGCAGATTTGCCTCTATAGGACTTCCAAATAACCATAATTGCCTCCCAAATGTGCAACTTAACATTCCCCTTGGGGCCATACCTGGCCTCCCTACATGCTTGATTGAATCAAACCAAACTCAAAAATCATGAAAGTAAAATAACATTATGTCCCTTGATTTTTCACACAACTTACTTAGTAGAAAAGAAATTGACAAATGAAGCCTCCAATAATATAAATAATAAGACAACAAAAACTCGTTTCCATGTTCCTAACATATACTTCTACAAGAAATATATCAACTATTTAATCTAATAAAAAAAATGATGGAGAGAGCACTAGTTCATGATTAAAGTGTATGACACAATCAATAACGAAAAGAAGATCAAATCACATTATTTACCACATGGCAGTTATTATCTTCCTTTATGAAGTACTTTTTCATTTTCGCTATTAATGCACAAATTAATTAAAAGAGGAAGAAAAGTAAAGGGGAGACATTTAATCAAGAAGAATATTGACAAGAAAGCCTTAAAAGTACAATGAGAAAAGTAAACAAGGCAGAATGACAAAGGAGAAACTAGGATGCCATTAAGTTATCAATTCTTGTGCATGAGAATGGACATGCAAGTAGGCACCTGCATGTAAACTACAAAAAAGTGGAGAGAACAAAACAGTGGCAGGACATCAATGCAATAGGTGAGACTCTGGTTAACAGATGTAATTCATACAAGTATTTATGCTTCTGAGAAAATAATGCAAATGAATTTAGTTGTTCAACAATGAATAATGGATCGCTTTCAGCCATGATAAAAAAGAGGCATACCCTAATTGAGAGTGGCAGATCAACTCCTCAAAAAAGCCTCCAACTTTACAAAACAAAACCACAAAATAATAAACATTCAACAAACTCGTTTACAACTTCAACATAAACAAACATCTCATTTTCTGGCATAGAATGTCTAATTTTCTATGACAAACTTAAATGCAACATTCTCAAATAAAAAACCATTTCACCACCAATGTATACATATTTCCTATCACAACTAAACAGCTATTTCCTATCTGAAAGTTCCAAAATCCCACATTCAGACAGTCCTTAAGCAAACAAAATCCATGAGCCCACAAGATTAAAACTCAAATCAACTACCCTCTAATCTGAAGACTTACATTTATTTCTATTACACCAGAATATACCGAACTTATTTAGCAAACACGAGATCGAAATTACCAACCTTGATGAGTATGGACTATGAATCTCAACTCAGATGTTATAGAATCAAACCAAAGGTTTGACCACTTGACTAACACCTAAGATTATAGGAGTCCATGACTATGAACAGTAAAGCAATTGACAACTGAATCAATTTAAAAACCAAAGAACTTATAAAATCAATTATAATATATACAATATGTACAATTAACTGCGCAATTAAATATAGACAGGGTGTTCGTAACTATCCAATTAAATACATAAACAATCGCAAGTATCAAATTGAAGTCAATCTAATGGGAAGCTTGTCTCTCACCATCAGCCACGCTCCTCAATACCTTCTTGAACGCGAAATGCACGCAATTCGATAATGCAATCCAATAAATCACCTCATAAACAAAATCAAAAGCGAAATCATTTGACGACCAACGCGATGATTCATCCCAATTTTGGTCTCCAAAACCGTCAAAGTTCCACCCCCTCCCACCATAACCACCCCCACCAAATATTCCATCATCGTTACCACCACCGAAAAACCCGTCGCCTTCGCCGCTGTCCTCGGAATCATCGCCGCCGCTGAACGATCTCCTCTTCGTCCGTCGCTTTTTGCGGAGAAGTGTTCGACGGGCCGTTCTGGGTGAACTGGATTTAACAGGCGGCGGCGCCAGGGCGTCCATCGGGAGAATCGCGGCAGAGAGTAAGTAGGGTTGGCGTAGAATGAGTTTCGCTAAGCCTAGGGTTTGCGATGTGGCGAGTGATACGGTGTCCGACAGAAGAGCAATGTCCATGGTCAGTGGGAGATCTGGAGAATCAGATTAGAAGGGAAGACTGCTAGGATTTGCTTGGTGAGGGAATATAAATATTCCCCGTTGAAATTGAGAGAATAGAAAGAAGAAAAGAAAAAAAAAGGAAAGGAAATTCCAAATTCGGCCCTGATTTGGGAGGGTAAGGACAGATGTTGTGTGAACTGAATACGCAAGGTGTTACGTGTAATAGCATAATGGCGGGTTTGGTGTGACGTGTCGTTTGTGTTTGGCGGGTGTGATCTGTGCTGCATGCGCGTCAGATATTGATACAAAGCTTTAACCGTTGAATTGTGCCTGGGCTGGGCCTCAAATGGGAAAAAGTCCCCAGCTTACTCGGGTTCTGGGCTCGGCATTCTCTAATGGGATGTTGCCTGGGAATGTCTGGGCTTAACTTAGGCCCAAGAGCCCAGCTCATGGTTGCATTATAATTTTGTGGTCTATGTGCTTTGTATTATCCTTTTGAAATATAATGGGCCAAACCCGAAGATCAATAAAGGCCCGAGATCAAAGCCAATCCACAACAGACAGCTGTTGGTTCAAGCCCAGCCGTCGTTCAGCAGTTGGCCCATTAAATGTTGCCGCTTCAAAACCCTAACCCTAACAAATAGGTTCCCCGTGATATAAAAGCCGCCAAATACTTCAGTCGCAAAAACCCTTGTTGGCCACTCATCGAGAGGGAGAGAGAGAGGAAGAAAAATGGTGTCGTTGAAGCTCCAGAAGCGGCTCGCCGCCAGCGTCCTCAAGTGTGGACGTGGTAAGGTCTGGCTCGACCCTAATGAGGTCAACGAAATCTCAATGGCCAACTCCAGTAAGTTCTTTTATTTTTTCCTTCTCAATTTATCCATCTTTCTTCACCTCATTTTTGCGTTCATATGGTGTAGTTATGTTAATAGAAGGTATCATGTACAGTGGATCTAGGAGCTTAACCGTTTATTGGCGAATAAATTACTAGGGTCGAAGAGATATTTCTTATTTGGTGCAATAATTGTGTTTGAACTTGATGTCTATAGCGTATTGAAATTTTGATTTTCGATCATACATTGTTAGAAAATGGGAAGTTTGAGAGATTATTTTGTAAGCACCAGGTTCTGTTGTGGAGTTGTTTCTTGTTGACTTTAAGATATTTTATCGCTTTTTTTTTTTTTTTTTTTTTTTGAGATAAACTATGAAGATTATATGGTAACTAAACTGGAAGAGCCTGTTTATAAATCATACTGTACGGAAATGAGATAGGTTAAGGGCAATACTGTTTGTGGAAAAATGTAGTTAAAGTTTTGTGTGCAGATTGATAATGAGTGGAATTTACTGTTTTTGGTTTGGCTTGTTGCTTAATAATTTGAGTGTCAATGGCTATATTGCTCTAGTTTTATTGTTTTATGAGGCCCTGTCAATTAATGTTGATTGTGCACTGTGGTTAATGAGTGCAGGGCAAAACATCAGGAAATTGGTGAAGGATGGTTTCATCATCAGGAAGCCAACAAAGATCCACTCTCGTTCTCGTGCTCGCAGAATGAAGGAGGCCAAGAGAAAAGGACGTCACTCTGGATATGGTATGCATTAATAATAATTAGTGTGGCAATCAACGTGCCTTTCTTGAATTGAATCATATCATTTCAGTTTTATATTTCTGCCGAGTCATTCGGTGCTTTGAATACTTTCAGGTAAGCGCAGGGGTACCAGGGAGGCCAGGCTGCCCACAAAAATCCTCTGGATGAGGAGAATGCGTGTTCTGAGGCGTTTGCTCCGTAAATACAGGGAGTCAAAGAAGATTGACAAGCACATGTACCATGATATGTACATGAAGGTTAAAGGTAATGTTTTTAAGAATAAGCGTGTTCTCATGGAGAGTATCCACAAATCCAAGGCTGAGAAGGCTAGAGAAAAAACTCTTTCTGACCAATTTGAGGCCAAGCGTGCTAAGAACAAAGCAAGCAGGGAGAGAAAGATGGCCAGGAGAGAGGAGCGTCTAGCACAGGTGATTGCTAGTTTATTTTAACCAGTTATTTTTGCTTGAATATTGTCATATTTAATTCCAGAAAAGTGACCTTTTAAGCAGGAAAACTCTTTGTATGAGATCAATATGTTATCAAGTCTCTTGAACACCCTTGTTAAGATAACTTGGTGCCAGGATATCTAGTAGTCATTGATACTTAATAATACTGTAAAACCTTTCTTAGTTTCAAATTGTTTTTGGAGAGTCAAGTAGCAACATAAACAAACAGTTAGAATTTTTTGGAATTGTGTTTGTTTGATTAGTTGTGCTTTTAGCTGAAATGTGGGTTTATTTTGTTATTATGATATCTCAGGGGCCTGGAGAGAAGGCAGCACCAGCTCCTCAGCCGGCTGAGTAAGAAACTTGATATTCGCTTCTTTTCTTGTTTTATTTATCTCTATGCGACAGGAGTAATTGATAATTTTCTCGACTATTTGTAGGGGAGCTAAGAAAGCCAAGAAATGAATGATCAGTGAGGACATTGTAGAGAAAACTGAAGATCTATAACCCATATATGTTAATGATTTTGGTTTTCTGAGTAGGAATTTGTTTCCTCGAGTTATCTTGTTTTTTGTGTTATGGCAAATTTTTTATTTATGAAGCCCTGGAATTTTGGGACCATATGAACTGTAGTTTCTTTTTGTTATATGTTGAATGATGATGAATGTTTTTGACATGAGCTGCTTGTTCATTTGAGATCCATGCAAGTTTTGATTCCTTAAAAGCACTTTGGCGTTTATACACTATTTGTATTTGTAGCTGCGGTAATTGCACATACATAAGGCTGTTAGATAACAATATAACATACAGAAGATGAAGTTGCAAGTTATACCATGTGACTTTGTGGTATACTAATTCTAGATCGTCATGAATCTGTGAAGAAATTACTTTAAAGAAGAAATTGGATTTCTATCACTATTGTTTTTAATTTTTATAGTTTAATAAACGTCTTCTAAATAATAATTTAAAGAGCCCACTCAGCAACAAGCAACTGAGGTTTGGTTTGGCCGTCTTCTAAATAATGATAATTTTATCATAAACTGCCTATTATTACTATTATTGTTATTATTATTTCTCTTAGTAATTGTCACCGTTATTGATTATTGTTATTCTTGTGAAGCACGTGATTTGATATTTTTGTTTGCTTGTAGTGGACAGTTAGGTAGATCCGAATTTCACTAAAGCGCCCCGGTTTGAAAAGTTGAACTTGAATTGAAACCCACCAGAAAATTGCGGTCAAATGGTAGAAGTCCATTATCATCACCATCTAATCTAATACAATTTCATTAAATAATGATTGGCATTAATTCAACATGCCCCGTTTCTCGATTTCCGGACTATCCACAACCCATTAAATAAAAATTCAATTCGATCAGGTTCTTGTCCAGTACTTTTCGTCGGTACTAGTTTTTAACTTTTTTTTATTATTATTATTCCAAAAGCAAAAACAAATTACGCTTCTTTCTTTCATTTCCTTCTCGATAGTTGGATCGAAACGGACCCACAAAATACAAATGATCAATCACTATTCGTATTTAATCATAAAAATTATCTGATTTTGTTTCAAAGCTTTTTACAGTTAGGATCAAAACAGAATTCAATCCAAACCCCGAAGAAAAAGAGATGGCGTCAGAGCAGTTGATGTCCGATGGTGGGCCCCGCTACGTTCAAATGCGATCAGAGCCGCCCACGACCACCATGGCGGTCTCGTCTTTTTTTACGTCGTTCGGTTCGGGTCCCGAACCCGAGTCGTCTCGCATTTTCGATGAGTTGCCTGAGTCCACCATCGTTTCGGTTTCTAGACCCGACGCCGCAGATATCAGCCCCATGCTTTTATCTTACACAATTGAATTTCAATACAAACAGGCGAGAATACGATCTCTTTCTGTAATTGATATTTTTGACTTTGAATTATGAAGAACGCGTCGTGAATTTAATTTGAATTATTGTCTTACTCTGATTGGATTTTGTTTTGATGATGAGAAACCATAGAAAATGAAAATTTGAATAATGTTACAGAGTTTTCACTTTGTGTGTTTACGAATAAGCGTGAAAGCTTATCTGTTGCGAGGAAATATTAAAATATTTTTCATCTTGGATTTTAATGCATTCTACTTCTGTTCTCCGTTTTAGAAAGTTTCTGTTTTTTTTTTTTTTTTTTTTTTAATATTTTGAATGTTAGTCTCATTAACACTGTCTTTGATTGAACGTTGAATGTTTTACTGCTTCTATTGATTGTTAGATGCATTCTTATGTCGTTTGGCAGTGTAAGTATTTGTTGACGGGAATGATTTTGTGTTTTTATTCACCAGTTCAAATGGAAGCTAGTAAAGAAAGCTTCACATGTATTTTATTTGCACTTTGCGTTGAAGAAACGTGTTTTTTTTGAGGAGATTCAGGAGAAGCAAGAGCAGGTGTGTGTGAATACAGTGCTCTGCCTTTGTTTTTGCAAGTATGAACTTTCATGTTTTGTTTTGAATTTGTTTTTGTTTGGGAAAATTTGGGGTTTGATGTGGTTTTTGGAAAATTATATTAAAGGTTAAAGAATGGCTTCAAAATCTAGGAATAGGCGATCACATGGCAGAAGTACAAGATGATGATGAAGGTGATGATGATACTATCCATGTTCATAATGATGAAATTGCTAAGAACAGGTGACTACTACCACGTGTTCTGACCGGTTCTGATGGACATTAAACATATTCTTTGACATTTGTTATAGTTTTGAAAGTGGGGTTTTTTGTTCAGAGATGTTCCATCAAGCGCTGCGCTGCCAGTCATTCGGCCAGCTTTAGGAAGACAGCATTCAATGTCGGACAGAGCAAAAGTTGCAATGCAACAATACTTGAATCACTTTCTGGGAAATATAGATATTGTTAACTCCCGAGAGGTATGCTTTGGTGCTTTATCTTAATTTACGGTACAATTCTTTGAAACTTTGGGTAATTCTCATAGTATTTACATCTCTGCAATCAATTGTCTTTTTTAGTTATGTATGTGTTCATGAGTGTTGGTTCATATGGTTTTTCTTTCTGTTGCACCATTGTCTCTTGTATTGCCAAATGTATATGTGAGTTTCAACCTTTCTGGTTGTTATGAGCTCTACTATGCTGGGATCAGCCTCTCACTTTGATTCACTCCACTTGTCAATAACTCCCTGGCATTTCCCACTTGTTATCTGTGAGTTGTCCATAAATTATAAAATCTGGCATCATCTGCCTTTTTCTTTTAATGCAACTACTAGTTTTTCGAAAGTTATGCTTTGTAAACTTGTTAGTAACATCGTTTTTCATGGTTGAATTTTTACTCAATTGATTAATTATGTGTGCAAATGATTTTTTGTGTCATGTAAAGCAATGATGAAGTACATGCAGTTGTGCTTTAACCTTTACTTCTTGTGCACCTTTTGAATACACTTGGTCAATGACTCTGAAGGATTCAGGGCCAGAGTTCTTAAAATTGAGTGGCTCCGATTTAGTTTTAGAATACTAATGCACCGTTAGTCACTATGTGCTATAAATACGAATCTTTTGTGCACCTCACTTTCCTATTGCACCATCTTTTTCTCAACATGGAATTTCATATGTAGGTTTGCAAGTTTTTGGAGGTTTCAAAGTTGTCATTTTCACCAGAGTATGGCCCTAAGCTGAAAGAAGATTATGTAATGGTTAAGCATCTTCCAAAAATTTTAAAAAATGATGATTCAAGAAAATGCAACTGCTGTCCTTGGTTTAATTGTTGTAATGACAATTGGCAAAAGGTAACGAACTTTCGTACTTGAAGTTATGGATATGCTATTCAAGGCTATATATATGAGAGATTTAGTTTTTTCTTTTTTAATTTATTTCATTCGTGCTGTTATTTGCTATTAAAATGAGTGCTTTCATTTGAAAATTTGCGTAATTATTAAGAATTTGGGCACATGGATTAAAACTTGATATGGAAAATAGGCTATACTTCATTCAGTTTCCTTTTTGAGTGTACTTTTCTTACTTTGCCTTGTTGTTTGCCTTCTGTTGTACAGGTGTGGGCTGTACTAAAACCTGGATTCTTGGCCTTTCTGGGAGATCCTTTCGATACCCAACCTATAGATATAATTGTTTTCGATGTGCTACCATCCTCTGATGGGAATGGTGACGGTCGAGTATCATTAGCAACAGAAATTAAGGACCGTAATCCTCTACGTCATACATTTAAGGTAAGCAGCACTCAGGCTGTTTATATTCTGAAATTTACATTATTTTAGCTTATATTTTGCTTTGATTGATAGGTTATTATTCAATTTTACCTTCTGCCTTAACCTTTAAAATTAAAGTAATAATTTTTTATTATAATTGATTTTTATGTGTAGCCGAACATGGCTATTTCTAGTCAATGAATCTGCTGATTACATGTGATGAAGAGACATCCTAGAAGCCTAAAATTTAAAAACATAATGCCTATCGACTGATATAGGGCACTCTGTATCATAAGCATTTTGTTTTCAGGCATGACGAAGTGGACTTCTTTCTAACTATTTTTTGGTCAGACTTACCTCATGAGTGATCTCTTTATAAAGTTACTCTGTTCATTAAGGAATTGCTGGAGAAAACACTGAATGAAGCAACTGATGGGAAAATGTAATTCTTAAGAGTTCTCCTACTTTAAAATTAAGGCTGAGCAGAGCCAAATTCAGTGGAAGTCTTTAGGTCTAGTTGGTGTCCAATTTTCATTTCCAGAAATACTGCCATACCTAAACTTTTAGATTGACACTTGAAATATATGGGTTAACTGTTTTGTCCCTAATATGTAAGTTCTATTGATTCTTTTTCTTGTAATTATTTAAAGTCTTTTGGACCTGCATTCTTCTGTGTACTTTTAGGATCGACAAAAAGTCTTAACAAATTAATTGGCTGGTGAAATTTATATGTTTTGAACAAATCCTGAGAAAATTTATCTCTAACGAGTAACTGAAAACTTTAAAAGGTGACTTGTGGAAACCGGAGCATAAGTTTGAGAAGCAAGAATAGTGCTAAAGTTAAAGATTGGGTTGCTGCAATTAATGACGCTGGCCTCAGGCCTCCAGAGGGCTGGTGTCATCCTCATCGCTTTGGCTCTTATGCTCCTCCTAGGGGTTTGACTGATGATGGAAGTCAGGCTCAATGGTTTGTAGATGGTAGAGCAGCCTTTGAAGCTATTGCTTCATCAATTGAGGATGCTAAATCAGAGGTTAGTCCCTTTCCCATTTCCACGGCACAGAAATTTATGGTAGTCCACATATAATAACTATATCATGGTTTAAGCATCTGATGATCTTAAGTTTCTTGCAGATTTTTATTTGTGGCTGGTGGCTGTGCCCAGAATTGTATATGCGGCGTCCTTTTCATGTTAATGCTTCTTCACGGCTTGATGCTTTGTTGGAAGACAAAGCAAAGAAAGGGGTTCAGGTATTCATTTGTGATAATGTTTTAATGTCATTACTTTATCTAGATTGATAAAGTGACCATTTGCAATACGTTTTTTTAATTCTATACTCTTTACCTGATAGGCCAAATGGTGTGGTTTGACTGTGATTTGTGAATCATTTCTATCGAGATGAATTCTTTGGCTCTTTCTGTCACAGTATTCTATTGGTGCTACCATTGTCTTGAACCTTTTGGAGGAATTATGACCATTATAGGCTGTATATGATGCTTGTGGCATCAGATCGTGCAAATAGCGTACTAGTGTTCAACCAAATATAACTACTATTTATTTCTACCATCTCACTGTTTTTCCTATCAGAACCTTTCATTATAGGTGTACTTGTAGCATGTTGATTGCATACCATCTACACTGCACATCTTGGCTGTACGATTAATTTTACATATTATTTTTTCTTGATATGTAGTTCTTTTGTGCTTTAATGCTGGTCAGATCTTGATTCAAATTTTTTATGTTTTAGCTTGGTGGCATTTCATTTGAATGAGCAGTAACAGTAATATTATCTTATGACTACAGATCTATATTCTTCTCTACAAAGAGGTTGCTCTTGCTTTGAAAATAAACAGTGTGTATAGCAAGAGAAAGCTTTTAAACATTCATGAGAATGTGAGGGTACTGCGTTATCCGGACCACTTCTCTACTGGTGTTTACCTATGGTATGGATCACTTGAAAACCATTATAGAGTATTTTCAGATGTAAATACTTTATCCCATTTTTTGCATTATACTGGATTATTTCTGTTTCTGATTTCCATGTTTGATTACATATAGGTCCCACCATGAAAAACTTGTCATTGTTGATTACCAGATTTGCTTTATTGGAGGACTGGACTTATGCTTTGGTCGTTATGACACATTTGAACACAAAGTGGGTGATAATCCTCCTCTGGTATGGCCTGGAAAGGACTATTATAACCCAAGGTATGTTCTCCTTTGTGCAAACATTCTACTTCTAGAATGTTTGCTAGCTTTTGTTTGAGAATTGCTTAGAAAATATCAAAGCTCTAGTCTCTGTGGTTACTGTTGAACTTGTATTCCTTGTAATTAGTCCGTATTTGTTTATAGAATTCTGTATCCTTGAAGTTGTACCTTCTGGATGGTGAAATTTTCTGGAATACAACTTCTTCTGATGCTTTCCTTTAGTGGTCAAAGTGAACTAGATGCTCATGTTTTAATTATATTTTGGTAGTAAAAACTTGCTTCTGCAGTAAATAACTAGTAGTTGGAAGTTTTGAAGTTTATATGGAGAGAACTTCTACAACAGTTTGCCAACTACCATTTGGTTGGACATGCTATGGTAGGGATTAAAAGACACGTGTTTACAATATGTTGGGACCTAACATTTCAAGGGTGCCAATGACCAGTTGGTTTGGTCTGAGTTCTTCTATTGCTTTGAGAAGGAAGTTTGGTTATGATTTTAAGTTGGTTGGAAGATGGAATGGTGTTTAGTTGATATATATATATATATACACACATATATTGTTAAAGTCAATTCCATTTTGTCAGGGAATCTGAACCCAATTCATGGGAAGATACAATGAAGGATGAACTGGATCGTGGAAAATACCCTCGCATGCCTTGGCATGATGTCCATTGTGCCCTGTGGGGACCACCTTGTCGTGATGTGGCTAGGCACTTTGTTCAGCGCTGGAATTATGCTAAGGTACGTGTTTTTATTTAATTAATATGGTTCTTTTGTGGAATTTATTGTAATTGGAAATTCTAATACAGGAATGTTTTTTCTTTCCAGAGAAATAAAGCTCCTTATGAGGAAACAATTCCACTACTTATGCCTCAACACCAGATGGTTATTCCACATTACATGGGAAGAAGCAGAGAAGTGGAGATAGAACGTAAGAATGGTGAAGACAATACTAAAGGAATGAAAAGACAGGATTCCTTTTCCTCTAGGTCATCTTTTCAAGACATTCCACTGCTCCTACCTCAAGATTCGGGCGGGTTGGATGGTTCTCATGGAGGCCCAAAATCCAATGGGATGGATATTAATACAACCAAAAGTGTTTCTTTCCGCTACCAGAAAGCCAAAATTGAACCGGTAATTACAGATACACCAATGAAAGGCTTTGTAGATGACTATGACTCCTCCCCCCCGCCTTTGAAAATACCTTTAGATGTAATGACACAGACAAGCAATAAAACTTCAGATTCAGAGTGGTGGGAAAAGCAAGAACGTGGTGATCAAGGTGGTTCCATGGATGAAACAGGACAAGTAGGTCCACGTACTTCGTGCCGTTGTCAGGTTTGTTTTAAATCATGTGGTATCTAAAGCTTTCTCATTCTCGGCTAAATATAAATAATCTACTCTCATTTTTACTATGATATCATTGAATCTTCTAATTTGATATATGGTTTATTTATTTCAAGCTTTTGTTGTAGTTCACCTTGTTTCCAATTTTATCAAAATTATTAATGCCAATGCTCTAGTATTCTATTGATTAAGGGGTAACATAGTATTTGAAATCTTCGGGACTATTAGAATTTACCTCCATATATAAATTTAGGACCTATATGCTATGGTGGGTGGACAGAAGTGTTGTAGTTGTTGCGTCTCTGGTTTGTCAAATTGGAACAGCTTTGTTCGTGTTTAAGATATGGCTCACTTTGCTATCAACGTTGGTTGAAGTAGACTAGTTTTTTATATCAGGCCTCTGCACCCTTCTAGCCCATTTAGGAATTTCATTTGTGCTAGATGACAATTAATTATTAGTTATGCATAACATAGCTGGAAGAGTTTTCTTGATTGATGTATCTATGTGATCCATTTTTTTTAACATGGCAATTTTATAATTTTCACCACTTACTTGTTTTCCACCCGAATTGTTTGAATTATAAGTAAAATGTTGTATCCTCTGCCATCAATAATGGTCTCTAATTTTCAGATTTTAAGGAGTGTCAGTCAGTGGTCTGCTGGAACAAGCCAAATTGAAGAAAGCATTCACTGTGCTTATTGTTCTCTCATTGAGAAAGCAGAGCACTTTATCTATATAGAGGTATATACTGGACTTAAAAATCTTTTACATGAAAGAAAGTAAAGCAGTTTATCTGTTTTAGCACTTTCTGCATCAATGACTTAAAAGAGTATTGTACTCTTGCTGCAGAGATTTTTGCTTGATAGAGTTTCATATGCAAATTTACTTTTGCCTTATATAATAGATTACAAATTTGGTTTTTTTGGTCTTTAAGAGTAACTGTTCCTTCAACTTGAGGAGGCTTGCAGAATTTCTAATGTATAGTTTCCTTATCCTGACTTTTCTTTAACTTTTGGGCAATCGTTCCCAGAATCAATTTTTTATATCAGGTCTTTCAGGGGATGAAATTATAAGGAATCGTGTTTTAGAAGCATTATACAGGCGTATTATGCGAGCATACAATGATAAGAAGTGCTTCAGGGTTATTATTGTCATACCACTGCTTCCAGGTTTTCAGGTTTTACTCCTTGCATGTGTGTCTTGAAATTTAGAGTTATTTTGATTATATATATTTGTACTGAATCCAAATTGTTGCAGGGTGGTGTTGATGATGGTGGTGCAGCATCTGTGAGAGCCATAATGCATTGGCAGTACCGAACAATTTGCAGAGGACAGAATTCAATACTGCATAACCTTTTTGAACTTCTTGGTCCAAAAACTCATGATTACATTTCTTTCTATGGTCTTAGGTCTTATGGTAGACTATTTGAGGGTGGTCCAGTGGCCACCAGTCAGGTATTTTTTTTCATTTTTGCAATTTATTATATGCATATGTGATCATTTATCTTCCTGAAATATTGGTGAATTCTGTCAGTATTTCTTTACTGGAATCTGGGTGTCATTGTATTCTAATGTTTTAATGGTTGGATTGGCATGAATATAAGAAAGCTAAAGTTTTGTTCCTTTTTTTTTTCTTTTTTGGCAGGTGTATGTGCATAGTAAAATTATGATAATTGATGATTGTGTAGCCTTGATTGGATCAGCTAATATAAATGATAGGAGTTTACTTGGTTCAAGAGATTCTGAGGTATCATTTTATTCTAGATGGGTTATCTTCAGTATGTGATTTCAGACTTTGAGGCCAACATGCATGATTTTGTTAACAAATCATGGTTTCAGCTTCCAGTTTTAACAGCATGCTCTGTATAGAATTTTTTTGGTGACAAAAAAGCATATACATGTGTTTGCCAGGTCCAGCAAATCTGGTGTAAAAAATTTTCAAAGAAAAATGATGACAGATTTTGAAGCTAGTTTTGTTTTTCTGCTGTAGCTAGTTTACCATCCTGATTCAGTACCTAAATATACCTTTTCAAGTAGGGAGTAGGGACTGACTGCTGGGCAGGAAATAACATGGCCCAGCACAGCCCTTGGTTTCAAAGAAAAAATTAAGGAAAAAGGCTACTGTGCCTGACTCTGACAGCATAGCGTTTTTCCTTTCTAGTTCTTTCTTAGTCAATGTGTCCACTTCCTGAAGAAGTTGCCCTTGCTGACGACATGGATTTTTTTCAGATTGCAGTACTTATTGAAGACAAAGAGCTGGTTGATTCATGTATGGGAGGAAAACCATGGAAGGCTGGAAAATTTGCTTTGAGTCTTCGCCTGTCGCTGTGGTCTGAACACCTTGGTCTTCGTGCAAGAGATGTTAGTGACCTCACAGTTTGCTTTTACCTCTAGAACTGTTTACATTTTGCATATCGGAAGCATGCATTAATTTTTTAACGGTGTAACGGGAAAACATATTATCATGATAAAGCATCTCAGGTCTTTCAGCTGATACTGTATTTTTCCCTTTTTTTCCTCAGATAAAACAAATAATCGACCCAGTAATTGATTCAACATACAAAGATGTATGGATTGCAATAGCAAAGGTGAGAACAGAATGAGCGTGTAAACATAAGAGTTATTGACATGACGTTTTTGCTGTGCTTCTCTTGCACTTTGTCTCTGAGTAACAACAACTTACGCTGTGAAGAATGTTATTGATTTGACAGACAAATACGGCTGTCTACCAGGATGTCTTTTCTTGTGTACCCAACGATCTTATACATTCCAGGTATGATACTTATGTGAGTTAGTCCCTTCACTTTTATTTATTGTGCTAATTTATATTTTTCGTCAAATATGTCAACATGCAGAGCTGCATTCAGACAAGACGTTGCCATGTGGAAAGAGAAACTTGGACATAATACCATAGACTTAGGAATAGCTCCTGTGAATCTTGAATCATATGTGAACGGAGATATTAAAAAAACTGATACAATGGAGAGATTACGGTCAGTGCACGGACATCTTGTTTCATATCCTTTGGATTTTATGTGCAAAGAAGATTTAAGACCAGTGTTTAATGAGAGTGAATATTATGCTACTCAAGTTTTTCATTAAGCTGCGGAAGCCTAAGCTTATCTTTTCACAATCGTGGAAAATACCCTTTTTCTTTCCAAAAATTGAATAGAAAACACACACACACATACACGGAGGAAGACAGAGAGGCAGAAAAGAGGCAGGCACTATTTTATGCTTTGCCCTACAGATTTATTGTCGAAGTGGTCATTTTTGTATAAAATACATTAATATATACTGCATTATTTATCTTCCTTGGCAGCAAAAAAATTGGTTAATATTATCTATTTTTCTACAAATTTCTAGAATTTTTTCGGTTTTCTTTTCAGGTTATGATTATTTATTTCGAAGTTTTGGTTAATATTGCCGAATTTGATAAGCATTTTGCTGAGAGTGATTTACTTTTATATAAGAAATTTGCATTTGCGAATCAAGATTATGGTTGGCATCGTGGAAAGGGTATGGGTTACTCTGCCCATTGAAATTTGAGGCCACCTTTCTGGGGAGACAAGGGCCAACCGGCCAAGAGGAGTGGTTCATGAGTCGACCCCTCCAATGTGGACCGCTACAGCAACGCCACCTTCACTAATTGAGGCCCCAAACTACGTCAACTTCTTCAACTCCCACTACAGAATCTTTGGCAGCTCGAAACAAACACACCATACACTTCCATATAAATAAATTCCAGCCCCACCATTTTCCTTCCCCTTTTGTATGGAAGAAGGAATCTGGCCAACTTGTCCAAATCAATACGTACCAACTCTATAATTATTTTATCTTCATCACCGAACACCGTAATCCTCCACCAAATCTAGCTAATGTCCTCACACACACTACATCCAATCCAGACCCAGACCCAGACCCAGACCCAGAATCTAGTATTTGCTTACAGGGTTCCACCATTTTTAGAAGCTGTAAAATCATGCATTGAAAGGGTCACAAATGATTAAAACTTGTTTGACCTTTGAGTTTGATATCTATGGTCCTGTAATCAACTGGCTAATATTTAGCCATGTGTTTGGTTAGCTTTATTAGCAGGCAGAAAAAGATATCTTATCTTCTTGACTATCTATATTTATATATTCATGAATTTGGTTTAGGAACTTAACCACTATACAATCTTTTTCTAATACAATAACCCTTCACAATCATCCTTTAGTTTAACGTTCTTAATTAACTATTCTTGTAGATATACTTTTTTAATTCTCAACCATTTACACCCACGAAAATATATTAATTAATTTCCATGAACTTGTTTGTTAATGTTAAATAATATGAACCATCCCAGGGTGGTCAGTTGAGACAATTGATTAAGAAGTCTTGAGTTCGATTTTTCTCGATTGTGAATATGGATGACCACAACCGAACTTACTTGATCGTTAACTTCATCACTCCAAACGATTAGTTGAGGTGTGCGCACCTTCAGTCACCGTCCAAGTGCGAGCACCCCCAGTCACCAAAAAAGAAAACGTTAAATAATATGTATTTTTTTTTTTTTTTTTTTTACCGACTTAACATAGTTTAATCTAAGTTCCTCTTATTATTTAGTTATTTACTTGTCTTAATCTAAAAGCATGTCTTAAGTTAATGGGCATGACGTTTGCTTGAAATGACCAAAATACCCATTACTATTGGATTATTTGGTAGCCTAACCATAGGTATTATGGTAAATTACATGGTCAACCAACAATTTTTGTAAAGCTATACATTACGTAGGTATATTTGAGCTTGCAAGTTGACGACGACAAACAATGGAGTATAAGCGATACGAAGCTCAATTCTCTCCAATTATCAGCTCTGTTTGCGTCAGATACATCGGATTCTGGCAGTTAAGATCAGACTGCCGATAATTCAGCCGTCAGATTTCAAACAATCAAGTTCTGAGAGGTGCTTTGTAGGAACTTAACAAAGGACAAAGGTTTTGTATGGTTAATCTGACTGCTGTTCTATTATTATTATTATTCATTTCGTTGAATATGGAAAAGGGTGCGTGATTTATATTTAGTATAGTTGAACTGCAGGGACAATATGACTTTTCCATCTCTTCTTGATGGATTGGCGAGGACTGTAACGATCAAAAGAGGTAAAAATTGTAGAAATGATAGTGGGAGAGAAGCTGCAGAAGCCTTGGCAAAAGATGCAAAGAAGAAAGAGTTGATGTTGAGTTCATCTGGTAACATCAAATCCAACAAGTCAAACAACTTTGCCTCAGTTTGCTCGAAGAGAGGTCAAAAGGGAAGTAATCAAGACTCTGCAATTGTGTGGGAGGTACAAGAATATATATATATATATATATATATATATATGAATATGTTATATATAGATTAATGTAGTATTGATTGTTGTACGTTGTTCTTGAAGGAATTTGGATGCCAAGAGGATATGATCTTTTGTGGGATATTCGATGGACATGGTCCATGGGGACATGTTGTTGCCAAAAGGGTGAGGGAATCAGTGCCTTCTTCTTTGTTGTGCAATTGGCAAGAAACCCTAAGTAATTCAACATCTGCTCAACCGATTTTGGATCGAAACCTTCACCAGTTTGATATTTGGAAGCAAACTTTCCTCAAGACTTACGCAGCCATTGACAAGGAGCTCAAGCAGCAGTCTGGGATTGATTCTTTTCGCAGCGGTAGTACAGCTTTAACAATTGTTAAGCAGGTAAATATGCTTGTAACATATTATCAGCACCAGTTTCCTTTTTTGATAGATGATGATAAACGTGTTAATGATTTGATTTTGCATCTTATAGCCTCTTTATTCAAATTTTCTTGTTATTTTCTTACCCTTTGATGGATAACCAAGAGAACTAATCCCACAAATTTGATTCCATTACTGAAATTTAAGACTTTATCTGTCTCTTTAGTCTTTACTATATTTGTTTCCTGGGATCTGGTTGATTTTGGAAGTTTTCAAGCTCAATCAAAAGTGGCCTAATTTTTGTTTTTATTATTTTCTCTGATGTTGATCGTCAGGGCGAAAACCTTGCGGTAGCAAACGTAGGTGATTCTCGGGCTGTGTTAGCAACTCTTTCCGATGATGGAAATTTGGTACCACTTCAGCTGACCATTGACTTCAAGCCAAATTTGCCTGGTTGGTTATCACTCTTAGTAATTTCTGTACACGTTTGCTCTTTATAAAATTATGTGTTTTATTGTCAAGGGTTTGCTGTACTGATGTTGATTTTGCTGGATTCAGAGGAAGCTGAGCGAATAATTCAGTCGAAAGGGCTAGTGTTTTGCCTACATGATGAACCAGGAGTGTACAGGGTGTGGATGCCGAATGGAGAGACTCCAGGACTAGCAATTTCAAGAGCCTTTGGTGATTACTGCGTCAAAGATTTCGGCTTAATTTCTGTGCCTCATGTAACACTAAGAGATATAACTAGAAAAGACCAATTTGTCATCCTGGCAACAGATGGGGTATGCACAATTTCATCTAATATAAAACACTCTAATTAATGGATGAATGAACAAGTCTTCTCTTAATTGATCTCTTTGATTTGTTCTGAAGGTATGGGATGTGATCTCCAACCAAGAAGCTGTGGAAATAGTTTCTTCAACTGGCGAAAGAGAACAATCAGCAAAAAGACTGGTGGAATGTGCTGCTCGTGCATGGAAATATAAGAAACGAGGCATTGCAATGGATGATATCTCTGCTGTTTGTCTCTTCTTTCACGCTTCATCTTCGTCACCTCCACATGTTGACACTTTGAAGCTCTCAAAACAAGCTGCTGCTGTCATGAATTGACCAACAAAAGCAATGGAAATAATATATGAGTTTGTATACATAGAAATACCCATCTGGGATATGAGTGGAATAATGTTAGAACCTATTTTCATTACTTATGAAATTACTACCAAACAAACGTATTTTATGTAATTACTACCAAACAAACGTATCTTATGTATTGGGTTATTTGGGTTGATCGCATATTGTTTTCAATACACTAAATTTAAAAGAAACATTCTTGCAATCTATAATGACCTAATTGAACAATTAAGTACTTAATTTAGCGAATGAGATCTCTTATGAGTAAAGATAGTTGAAATTATTGTTTCTCGCTTCTTAAAGATTGTATGTTTCGATAAAACTTCAATTTATCTCCTTTTGTAGTTGAATGGTAAGTCTTTCGGTAATTAGGATTAGTTATACTTAAAGGTTTTGTTTTGATTCACGGGAGAGGCAATTACCGAGTTTATCCTAAAAATCTTTGATTTGATATTTCATTATTTTGGTTATATTTTCTATTTAATCAAATGTAAATTCTTAATTACTTTTTTAAAATTTAATAATGGGTACATATTCATTGGATAAAGCTATTTGTACAAACTCTCGTACAAAGAGAGTTTGTATAAACTGACGTGACACAACAAATGAGTGTCACGTGACATAAGAGCCCACATGACATTAAGTTATGTGATTCCTAATACCACGTGAGATGTTATATGACGTGTTACGTCAGTTTGTACAAACTTTATTTGTACGAGAGTTTGTACAAATAGGAGGGGGAGTTTATTAAATGGTCATTTCAAGTTAAAATTTAATTAAAAGGCTATATAGTTTGTAAATGTTAACTAAATAGCCTTATTTTTTATTAAGCTTAATTAAACATGATTAGGGTTAATTAGGATTAATAAATAATTGTGTAATCTTTTTAAAAATTATAATATGTCCCCAAAGAGTCGAAATGGTTGCAAACAAACCCAAACACCTTCTTCTTCTTCCTCCCGCCACATTAACGCATTCCTTCGCCATTAACATCTTCTCCAACACAGATCCTCCTCCTTCTCCACCTCCTGACATTTCGTCCAGGTATGTGTATCTCCCCTTTCGATTTTATATTTTGATTTACAAAGATTTAATGATGGATTGAGTTTGGGTTATGATTTTGATTTAGTTGTTTAAGTTGTTGGGTTGTGTTTGATGTAATGGAAGTTGAAAGGAGTGAAATTTGTTGAAATATTTTTTGCATTGTGGGTAGCTGCGGGTGGTAGCACCGATTGTAGGTTGAGATGACTGAAAATGTGTTCTGGATATGATGGATCGCTTAAGCGATCTAGTGTATCGCTTAAGCGATCTAATACGTCTGGTAATGCAGCAGATAGATTGCTTAAGCGATCTGGTGTATCGTTTAAGTTATCTGGTACGTCTGGTAATGCAACAGATAGATTGCTTAAGCGATCTGGTATGTGGCATAAGATCACTTAAGCGATCTACTAAAAGTCTGGTGTATAGCAGCAGATCGCTTAAGCGATCAGTAAATGGCATAAGATCACTTAAACAATCATGGTTATTTATACTGGATCGCTTAAGCGATCCAGTAAATGATATACCAGATCACTTAAGCGATACACCAGATCTGTCAAGTGACTGTGCATATGCTTTTTAAAATATTTCAACCCTTAGTATAGTAGTTAAGAATATTTTTTTCTTGCGTTATAGGTAATTGGCTATTATTAGACATGGGACAAGTCGTTTTGGGTGTTGAATATTTTGATGAGTAGGTGGAGGAAGAAAGCAGCTGGAAGTAGAGAATTTCCTCCACCAAATCTAGCTAATGTCCTCACACACACTACATCCAATCCAGACCCAGACCCAGACCCAGACCCAGAATCTAGTATTTGCTTACAGGGTTCCACCATTTTTAGAAGCTGTAAAATCATGCATTGAAAGGGTCACAAATGATTAAAACTTGTTTGACCTTTGAGTTTGATATCTATGGTCCTGTAATCAACTGGCTAATATTTAGCCATGTGTTTGGTTAGCTTTATTAGCAGGCAGAAAAAGATATCTTATCTTCTTGACTATCTATATTTATATATTCATGAATTTGGTTTAGGAACTTAACCACTATACAATCTTTTTCTAATACAATAACCCTTCACAATCATCCTTTAGTTTAACGTTCTTAATTAACTATTCTTGTAGATATACTTTTTTAATTCTCAACCATTTACACCCACGAAAATATATTAATTAATTTCCATGAACTTGTTTGTTAATGTTAAATAATATGAACCATCCCAGGGTGGTCAGTTGAGACAATTGATTAAGAAGTCTTGAGTTCGATTTTTCTCGATTGTGAATATGGATGACCACAACCGAACTTACTTGATCGTTAACTTCATCACTCCAAACGATTAGTTGAGGTGTGCGCACCTTCAGTCACCGTCCAAGTGCGAGCACCCCCAGTCACCAAAAAAGAAAACGTTAAATAATATGTATTTTTTTTTTTTTTTTTTTTACCGACTTAACATAGTTTATTCTAAGTTCCTCTTATTGTTTAGTTATTTATTTGTCTTAATCTAAAAGCATGTCTTAAGTTGATGGGCATGACGTTTGCTTGAAATGACCAAAATACCCATTATTATTGGATTATTTGGTAGCCTAACCATAGGTATTATGGTAAATTACTTGGTCAACCAACAATTTTTATAAAGCTATACATTACGTAGGTATATTTGAGCTTGCAAGTTGACGACGACAAACAATGGAGTATAAGCGATACGAAGCTCAATTCTCTCCAATTATCAGCTCTGTTTGCGTCAGATACATCGGATTCTGGCAGTTAAGATCAGACTGCCGATAATTCAGCCGTCAGATTTCAAACAATCAAGTTCTGAGAGGTGCTTTGTAGGAACTTAACAAAGGACAAAGGTTTTGTATGGTTAATCTGACTGCTGTTCTATTATTATTATTATTCATTTCGTTGAATATGGAAAAGGGTGCGTGATTTATATTTAGTATAGTTGAACTGCAGGGACAATATGACTTTTCCATCTCTTCTTGATGGATTGGCGAGGACTGTAACGATCAAAAGAGGTAAAAATTGTAGAAATGATAGTGGGAGAGAAGCTGCAGAAGCCTTGGCAAAAGATGCAAAGAAGAAAGAGTTGATGTTGAGTTCATCTGGTAACATCAAATCCAACAAGTCAAACAACTTTGCCTCAGTTTGCTCGAAGAGAGGTCAAAAGGGAAGTAATCAAGACTCTGCAATTGTGTGGGAGGTACAAGAATATATATATATATATATATATATATATATGAATATGTTATATATAGATTAATGTAGTATTGATTGTTGTACGTTGTTCTTGAAGGAATTTGGATGCCAAGAGGATATGATCTTTTGTGGGATATTCGATGGACATGGTCCATGGGGACATGTTGTTGCCAAAAGGGTGAGGGAATCAGTGCCTTCTTCTTTGTTGTGCAATTGGCAAGAAACCCTAAGTAATTCAACATCTGCTCAACCGATTTTGGATCGAAACCTTCACCAGTTTGATATTTGGAAGCAAACTTTCCTCAAGACTTACGCAGCCATTGACAAGGAGCTCAAGCAGCAGTCTGGGATTGATTCTTTTCGCAGCGGTAGTACAGCTTTAACAATTGTTAAGCAGGTAAATATGCTTGTAACATATTATCAGCACCAGTTTCCTTTTTTGATAGATGATGATAAACGTGTTAATGATTTGATTTTGCATCTTATAGCCTCTTTATTCAAATTTTCTTGTTATTTTCTTACCCTTTGATGGATAACCAAGAGAACTAATCCCACAAATTTGATTCCATTACTGAAATTTAAGACTTTATCTGTCTCTTTAGTCTTTACTATATTTGTTTCCTGGGATCTGGTTGATTTTGGAAGTTTTCAAGCTCAATCAAAAGTGGCCTAATTTTTGTTTTTATTATTTTCTCTGATGTTGATCGTCAGGGCGAAAACCTTGCGGTAGCAAACGTAGGTGATTCTCGGGCTGTGTTAGCAACTCTTTCCGATGATGGAAATTTGGTACCACTTCAGCTGACCATTGACTTCAAGCCAAATTTGCCTGGTTGGTTATCACTCTTAGTAATTTCTGTACACGTTTGCTCTTTATAAAATTATGTGTTTTATTGTCAAGGGTTTGCTGTACTGATGTTGATTTTGCTGGATTCAGAGGAAGCTGAGCGAATAATTCAGTCGAAAGGGCTAGTGTTTTGCCTACATGATGAACCAGGAGTGTACAGGGTGTGGATGCCGAATGGAGAGACTCCAGGACTAGCAATTTCAAGAGCCTTTGGTGATTACTGCGTCAAAGATTTCGGCTTAATTTCTGTGCCTCATGTAACACTAAGAGATATAACTAGCAAAGACCAATTTGTCATCCTGGCAACAGATGGGGTATGCACAATTTCATCTAATATAAAACACTCTAATTAATGGATGAATGAACAAGTCTTCTCTTAATTGATCTCTTTGATTTGTTCTGAAGGTATGGGATGTGATCTCCAACCAAGAAGCTGTGGAAATAGTTTCTTCAACTGGCGAAAGAGAACAATCAGCAAAAAGACTGGTGGAATGTGCTGCTCGTGCATGGAAATATAAGAAACGAGGCATTGCAATGGATGATATCTCTGCTGTTTGTCTCTTCTTTCACGCTTCATCTTCGTCACCTCCACATGTTGACACTTTGAAGCTCTCAAAACAAGCTGCTGCTGTCATGAATTGACCAACAAAAGCAATGGAAATAATATATGAGTTTGTATACATAGAAATACCCATCTGGGATATGAGTGGAATAATGTTAGAACCTATTTTCATTACTTATGAAATTACTACCAAACAAACGTATTTTATGTAATTACTACCAAACAAACGTATCTTATGTATTGGGTTATTTGGGTTGATCGCATATTGTTTTCAATACACTAAATTTAAAAGAAACATTCTTGCAATCTATAATGACCTAATTGAACAATTAAGTACTTAATTTAGCGAATGAGATCTCTTATGAGTAAAGATAGTTGAAATTATTGTTTCTCGCTTCTTAAAGATTGTATGTTTCGATAAAACTTCAATTTATCTCCTTTTGTAGTTGAATGGTAAGTCTTTCGGTAATTAGGATTAGTTATACTTAAAGGTTTTGTTTTGATTCACGGGAGAGGCAATTACCGAGTTTATCCTAAAAATCTTTGATTTGATATTTCATTATTTTGGTTATATTTTCTATTTAATCAAATGTAAATTCTTAATTACTTTTTTAAAATTTAATAATGGGTACATATTCATTGGATAAAGCTATTTGTACAAACTCTCGTACAAAGAGAGTTTGTATAAACTGACGTGACACAACAAATGAGTGTCACGTGACATAAGAGCCCACATGACATTAAGTTATGTGATTCCTAATACCACGTGAGATGTTATATGACGTGTTACGTCAGTTTGTACAAACTTTATTTGTACGAGAGTTTGTACAAATAGGAGGGGGAGTTTATTAAATGGTCATTTCAAGTTAAAATTTAATTAAAAGGCTATATAGTTTGTAAATGTTAACTAAATAGCCTTATTTTTTATTAAGCTTAATTAAACATGATTAGGGTTAATTAGGATTAATAAATAATTGTGTAATCTTTTTAAAAATTATAATATGTCCCCAAAGAGTCGAAATGGTTGCAAACAAACCCAAACACCTTCTTCTTCTTCCTCCCGCCACATTAACGCATTCCTTCGCCATTAACATCTTCTCCAACACAGATCCTCCTCCTTCTCCACCTCCTGACATTTCGTCCAGGTATGTGTATCTCCCCTTTCGATTTTATATTTTGATTTACAAAGATTTAATGATGGATTGAGTTTGGGTTATGATTTTGATTTAGTTGTTTAAGTTGTTGGGTTGTGTTTGATGTAATGGAAGTTGAAAGGAGTGAAATTTGTTGAAATATTTTTTGCATTGTGGGTAGCTGCGGGTGGTAGCACCGATTGTAGGTTGAGATGACTGAAAATGTGTTCTGGATATGATGGATCGCTTAAGCGATCTAGTGTATCGCTTAAGCGATCTAATACGTCTGGTAATGCAGCAGATAGATTGCTTAAGCGATCTGGTGTATCGTTTAAGTTATCTGGTACGTCTGGTAATGCAACAGATAGATTGCTTAAGCGATCTGGTATGTGGCATAAGATCACTTAAGCGATCTACTAAAAGTCTGGTGTATAGCAGCAGATCGCTTAAGCGATCAGTAAATGGCATAAGATCACTTAAACAATCATGGTTATTTATACTGGATCGCTTAAGCGATCCAGTAAATGATATACCAGATCACTTAAGCGATACACCAGATCTGTCAAGTGACTGTGCATATGCTTTTTAAAATATTTCAACCCTTAGTATAGTAGTTAAGAATATTTTTTTCTTGCGTTATAGGTAATTGGCTATTATTAGACATGGGACAAGTCGTTTTGGGTGTTGAATATTTTGATGAGTAGGTGGAGGAAGAAAGCAGCTGGAAGTAGATTGGGAAGAGCAAAGAAGTTATACCAATTGATATGAGCACAGAGGTTAGTTTTGATGAGTTGATTGATGAAATAATTAGAAGAGATGATTTGAGTTGCTCACGTAGTGATATAATTGTGAAGTATGTTTTAAGCAGAGTTCCTGAACATTATAAGGTACCTCCTGTTATATTAAAGTCAGATGAAAGTGTGAAGTTATATATGATTGATATCGCCGATAATGGTTCGAGGCCGATTTTAAGGGTTTCTTTTGTAGAAAAACTGTTGGAAGTTGGTTCAAATGAAGGAGATAACGAGAAAGTAGGTGGAGATTTGCCTGGTTTTAATTTGAACTACGAGGGCATTGATTTGTTAGTTGAAAAATCAAGAGCAAACGGTGAATTGGGTGGTGAGGAGGACACTGTAGAAGAGGTTGGTCATAGGGGGCATAATGAAAATGTTGAGGAGGAGGACCCCGTACATGTTCCTGCAGATGTAGAGATTCTTTTAAATACATATTATGCAGAAAGTGTAGTTTGTGAGGAAGAGAACACTATGGTCGTTTATGCAGGTTCAGAGGGGGCAATTGCAGGTAGTAGTGAATCAGCTCATGTTTTTATGGATGGATCAAAGTTGCGCATAAAGTATTTATTTGACAACAAAGAGGAAGTGGTGAGGAAGCTAAAACTTGTTGCCGTGAGAGGTAATTTTGAGTTCATCACCAAAAAGTCAAATTCATTGGCTGTGACGATTGCATGTCGTGACCGAAAGTGCAAGTGGCGGGTTTATTATAGAAGGTTGGCAGAGTCAGAAAAATTTATTCTTAGCACATATACCCGTGAGCACACATATGGTTTGGGACATATTTCAGGTGAGCATCAACGAGCCTCCGCTAATGTTATTGGACAATTTGTCAAAAGTTGGTTCGTTGAAGGGAAAGGTTCATCTCCTAAAGACATCAGAGACTTGTGCGCACAGAGTTGAGATGTGCTATTAGTTACTGGAAATACTAGAAAGGGAGACAACATGCACAAGATTTTGTGAGGGGCACGCCGGAGCACAGGTACGCAGTATTAGAAGCGTACCGTTATATGCTTGAGTTGACAAATCAAGGTAGCAAGACGGCTTTGAAGTGGGACAGGAATATGATGTTTAAATATTTTTTTGTTGCTTACGGTTCTGCTATAAGGGGTTTTGTAAACATGAGAAAGGTGTTGGCTGTTGATGGTTGCTTTCTGACGGGAAAGTATGAAGGTACATTGTTGGTGGCCACTACACATGACAGCGAGAATCACACATATCATGTTACATGGTGTGTGGTTGACTGTGAGAATGACAAGTCATGGACTTGGTTTTTTGAGCAATTACGTACGATAGTGCTTGACAGTGACGAGTTGTGCATAATATTCAATAGGCACAACTCTATAAAGAAGGGGATTGCCACTATTTACCGTCAAGTACATCACAGATTCTGTATAAGGCACCTTGGTGAGAACATAAAACAAAAGTTTAAGTGTGCTGGCCTCCTTTAGACATACTACATGGCAGCAAAAGCTTATCGGGTTGATAAGTTCTAAGAGTACTTCCAGCAAATCCGAATCAAGGATGATAAAGTTGCTAAGTATCTTGCATGATGTTGGTTTCGAGCGATGAAGTAGAGCTTACTTTCCTGGAAGAATGTTTGATGTCATGACCACGAACATAGACGAGTCCATAAATTCGAAGTTGTTAATAGAAAGAGAGTTTCTAATAGTTGCACTTTTTGATGCAATCCAGAGGATATTGTCACAGTGGTTCTATAAGCATCGTACGGAGTCAGATAATTTTACTACAACCCTTGTTCCGTCAGTTGAAAAATTATTGCGAGAATGTATGGAACTGTCAAATGCACTGTTTGCCTATCCTCTTAATGCTCAAGAGTTCACTATGCACAACTATGATCTGAATGCCTTAGTTAACCTTGTTAGTAAAAGTTGCAACTGTAAAGTGCTTGACATTCAACATTTACCTTGTCCTCATGCACTAGCAGCACTGAAACACCAACGGAAGTCGGATTTTGGTTCAAGAATTTACATGGAACTTTGCTCCCCTCTTTATATGGAAAATCACTACATGCTAGCTTATTCAAAAACGATATATCCAGTGCCTCCAGAAGAGCAATGGGTAGTGCCGCCAGAGTTGGCTGACATTATCATCTATCCGCCATTCAAGAAGACAGCAAATGGGAGAAAAAGAGTTAAGCGTATTCCATCAGCCTTTGAGGTTCCCCGGAAGATGAATAAGTGCTCAATTTTTAAGCAACCTGGCCATAAGAGAAGCAGTTGCCAGAAGTAATCACATGTAGATCCAGAAAATTAGGTTCGAAGAAGGATGAAATTCAGGTAGTTGTCAAGGCCAACCGTTAATGAGTTATTGTTTTCAATTATTGATGTTTTAAATTTTATTGTTACCTTGAATAAATCATTCTTTATATTTAGTATTCTTGTTACAAAACATAAATATATGTTGGTGATTTTAGTTTGAAATTAGGTTGTCAAATTGAGGAGAAAGTATGGAATTAATATGTGTTGGTAATTTTAGTTTGTCAAAATTCAGGAGAAAAGATGGAAAAGTATATATTGCCTATGATCGCTTAAGCGACTAAGTATATCGCTTAAGCGACAAAGGGTTTTTCATAAAGGATCGCTTAAGTGATATCATGGATTGTTTAGGCGATCGTGCACCTAGGCAGATATTGATTCTGCCCATCACATGATCGTTTAATCGACCAAGTGAAAAAGAGAAGAATCACTTAAGTGATATCACAGATCGCTTAGGCGATCATGCACCTATACATATATTGATTCTACCTAGGACTTGATCGCTTAAGCGACACTTTGTAAAAGCAAAGAATCGCTTAAGCGAGACCCCAAATCGCTTAAGTGATCGTGCATCTAGCAAATTGATTCTGCGTCGGACTTGATCTCTTAAACGATAGAAAATCGCTTAAGCGACCCTGAGTAAACGAAGTTTGAATGACTACTCAACAAATTGTTTGTGCAAATGGTTTTGCAAAGTTACAACTCCATACATAAAATTAAATTATCTACACTTATTATATTGCTGTTGTTAGTCCTTTTTTATTTAATATTTATTATTATTAATTATTTTTTTCATTTCAATAGAATGTGAAAATAACACTTCGGTCTTTGTCGGTTAGCACCGTACATAAAACTGAAGACCTATTGTTATTCTATTATTTTTGTTAGTTGTTGGCAATAAAGTATTCTTTATTGAACGAATCGTACGAGCTATAACTCTGCAAAACCATTTGCACAAACAATCTGTTGATTAGTCATTCAAACTTCGTTTACTCCTTAAAATAACAACTCTTTTAAAATCAGACCGAGAAGAATCTCAAAAGAGTGTAATATGTATCAATGCTCTAAAAATTTTACCGT